AGTCACTCGTGCATCTAGTATGAGCTAAATGACGAAATAATTTTGGTCTGTTGTCATAGTACTGCGTAGAACGAGAGCAGATCTACCAGTAACTACCTAGTTATCTGGAGGTGCATGGATAGGCGCAGATACGCGTAAAAACTAGGTGTCTGACCGGCAGGCAACGGCGTGTCAGTTGCCTTATTTCGCAGGATTAACCCATCGAGGCAAAGCAGCGAAACGCGCACAGCCACGTGGAAGCCATTGCACACATCTTGCGTTTCTGGGAGAATGCCTGGGATGCTATTTATTTCTACTCAGGAACTGACATGGTACGACGCGTTGAGTCAGCGCACCACGGGCAATGTCTGCTGCGCCTGCGATTAAAAGTAGCACAAGATGCTGATGTTACGCCTATCAATCTTGACCAGAGTGAGTCAGAGGATATTTGTCATACGTGCGGTTTACAAAACAATACCCGAGGGGCAATTCGACCACTTCAGGGGAGGCGTCACGGGGCGGCGGATTCGGGGAGCAACTGGCTACAGCCGCAATGGAAAACAAGCCCCCAAAAACGTGGGTTTGCGATATAGTGGTAAAGAGCTGTGGCTAGATATGGCTGCGGACATTGCCAAAGCAGAATAAGACATGAAGCAGATCCATCGTGTATCAGTATGTTACTGAGCGCCCCCGAAACGCCGCGGGGTGGAAGCATCGAACCCCGGCCCCCCCCCCCTCCTTGCGGGGGCCGATCCTCGTCTTGTTCATCGACAGGGTTATTGGTAAGCACCGGTCGCGATGAAAGCAATGATGAACAAGGCCAGAAGGGTCCGCGTCTTTTGCGTCATGTAAGGCGCTTCATCCTGCCAACTGACTGGACTTGGCGGGGCATGCTTTGGCAAGGGAGCCTGCAGAGACCTCTCGACCCCCCCGGGGAGGAGGGCCTGGCCGGGAAGGGACAGGAAGAAGGCAGCCTCTGGCTTGCAGATACATGGCTTTGCGTTCCATGGCATGGCGAGCTATGACCAAGATCATCCACTTGTTCGTCATATGGGTGCCAGTTCCACGAGTTCAGCCCACTTACGATTGTCATCTTATGCAGGACTTTTGGTCTATGATATGATGGCGGTCTTTTGTACCTAGGTACCTACCTATCTACGGAGCTTTGGAGCCGTGGGAGTAAGTATCACTTGTAACCCGTAATACAGGGCATTTTTTCCTACAACAGCCCCCGTAACTGAATTTCCTGCTCTGCCTAGGTACCGTTGAACTGTTCCATAATTTCCGATAGCGTCTTTTTCTCATTGGTCAAAAACGATGATATTATGTTGTTTCTCAAGCTTGCAGTGTGCCTTTTTGGTTTGCGTGGGCGCGCTACCTGCCATTGCTAGCAGCCTTGCTGCCTTGCTGGCTTATTCACGGCCACACCCCCCCTCCTCCCTCCCCCTTGTACGGGCGACGAAAGTGTAAATTTCCTTGCACCCTCCAACCACATCACTAACGACTTTGTGCATTTAAGCTTCGCGCTTGATCATCACCAACCAAAGTCATCCGGTGTTGCCTAGCTTGACGTCCCAACATGGAACATGGCAAACGACGGAGCAGCCATCTCCATCAGTGCCGCCCGCACGAAGCTGCTCCCCAGTGGCGCACCCGTCAAACACCGTTTTAGCCGTATCCTCGAAACTATGCTCATCCCCGGACAAGAACAGTAACTAAATGCAAACGAATTTTCAGTGCACAGAGCCATGCTCGCCATGCTAGCAAGACACGGAATGCAACCTCTCAACCTCAGTTGCCTTGATGCAGTCAATACAAACGGCTGACCGCATCATGCGATGCAACCAGCGAACAACAAAGAGCCACGGCCACGGCCACAGCCTCCTGGCTTGCTGCGCTCCCTTCGTTTAGCTCGCTTATAGATTTTACCTCGAGGCTTCGGTCAGCTATTCCGCGCGCTGTCTTGGTGTGCTGCGACATGCATGCAGGCAACGCCCAAGACAAAGAAGAGATAGACGCTTGATGCAACTGGTCAGCATCAACTTAGACATTTGCCCGCATCGGCCACGCCGAACCCAGATCGCCAAGTCCTGAAACTCAAATGTCGAGGAACAAGGTACCTTTTTTTACTTGGGCGATGGGTAGCATTAAGCTTTCGTGCCATGCCATACCCCAAGCCTCACCTTTAGGTAGCCATCGCCAATCACGCTCAGCCATCATCGCCACACAAGATTCCACCTAGGGTCAAATCGACTAGGGCCTCTCGGCGCCAACATCTCGCGAGGACCTCAAAACCTTTCCTAGCCAACCCCTGCCAAGCGGCAAGGAGAGTATCACGAATCAAATCGGCTCGGCATCAACATTTAATATTGCCAGTTCTAGCATCTAGCAAACGTACAGAAGCACTCCGGTTCGTCTGATTCTACCCGTTTAAGCTCTCGACCGTAGCTCGCCCTGAATTCTAAATCAGCTCCGCCCCCATTGGGGCGATCTTGAACGTGCTGCGAGCCTGATTTTTGCCATGCTCTGTCTGGCCCGCCCACACGCCCCATGTGGTTCTCAGCCCTGTAGAAAGGGCACCAAAACACCCTTTGGCTGCGTGCCTGTCGCCGCTCCAGCGGAGACGCCGCTGCCTGATTTCGGCGTCTTTTCTTGTCCAATACGGGATACGGACAAAAATCAAACTCTCAAGCTTGCAATCACTGGCCTGGTGGGATAGTACCCTGATACTCGTTGCTGTGCGCAGTCGGGAATGCTCTGGCAGCTTGCTGTGGAGGCGGATCGCTCAAAAATATTCAGTCGCACACTCAAAACTACGAAACGCCTTACACGACCCTAGTCGGACTGTTTGTCGCTCTACTCGCATTCGCCGTGAGCTTCTGCACAGCGTCTCGAGTCCCCTGCACGTCACCTCCAGCGCTGCGAGCAGGTACCAATACTTCTTTGTGCGACCATTTGCAGCCAAGCATTACGCAACATCTGTCGCTTCACTGACGACCTGGTGAATAGTGGCACCAGCCTACGGAGCACTCCTGTCGACCGGGCGCAGGGGCGGCGGGTAGGCGGAAGGCTCACCGACAAGCCATGCTTGCCATGCTAGCAAACCCTGGTTTGCTACGAGCAGTTGGCTGGTAGTCCAGCCCCAACACTGCCAGGGCACATCAGTCCGACAGTGGTCGACTATCTGCGACAATTGATTGACAGTGAGCATGCACTATTTTAGTCTCCAAGCGGGACATGGCCGAAGTATTCAAAGATGGCAGCTTTCGTACAATCTCACAACAGTTGGCGGGTATCAGGTGCAATCGGATGCAGCTGTTGCTCCAGGATGCAGAGGGCGCAACATTCTTCCGTCTTAATTCTTCCCCACCAACATATTCAATCGGAGCTCTCGAATCGCTGAGTCACATACATATCCCAGACTGCCACGCTCTGAATGGGTACGATATAATTCAGACTAGTCACTCGCCGCATCGCCTGAAGCGGCTTGGCTCCGGGGGGGCTGAATGCACGCACCTGCAAAAGCTGCCAGTTGGTATTTCCAGGGCAGATTGCCTGGTGCAGTCGACCGCTGTAATGCGCTCGTCCAGTTCAGTAAACGAGATGCAGGCGATGGGAACAATCAAACCGCAATATGTGTATTTCTGGCCTCTGTGGGACTCGTTGCTCTTCTGATAACAGCGTCCTCGTCACCAGCATCGACAGACCTAATAATGGTGCCCACACTCTTACCGTTGTGCGCATTCTCCGCATCGCGCCCCGAGTTCTGAATAACGTGCCAAGTGGTACAACAGTAGCATCGTCTATTGCGGAGCCCAGCAATCTCAACTAGCTCGCCGGGGCCGGGCAAGAAGAAAACCTGTGTGCTGATGCTGCTGCTGCTGCTGCTGCCGAGAGTGGTATCTTATTGCAACACAGCCGCTGCCGACACGCTGCTGATACTGGCTCGGGATCTTTTGACAGCACCATAGCAAGTGTCGTCACCAGCGCGCTCTAAATTTGGCGACCGCGAACACGCCTCGAAACGCCTCGAAACGCCTCCTCGTACAACACCTTTTGCGCCTGGCTGCATGACAGACACGCCGGAGTTAGTATTGTGTCTTTGCCAAAAACCGCATCAAGGTTGACCCTAGGACGGGTGGACCGCGGCGGTTTCCTATTAAATGAGCTTACGGACGCTAGCCGTGGCTAGGTAGTTGCGAGGTTAAGCGGAGGCAACAGAAAAAGACACAAGGACCCTGCCTGCCACCAATATGGTAAGTCTGGTACGGACGATGTACCAACCCACCTAGGGGGTGAAGGAGGGGCGTGTCGCAGCATACACGAACCAACTTGAACGCAGCAGCCAAGTCTCCTACCCCCCCCTCTCGGTCTTCGGCAGGTCAAGCGAGGCGAAGGCGCTGGGCTGTTAGTTGGCGGCCGATCTCGAAATTGTGCTTGCTAACTCACTCAATATCCTAGGAATTAAAATAACAAAATATTACTGGCATCGATCTAAAACCAAACTGCTTCATTCCACGCCTCATCAGCTACGAGATAGACTCACACGCCCCTGCCCCCTACCTACACCAGCAGAGCTTCTTGACGAGTTGGTGGTGGACCCTTGGCATCGTTGCATCTGGTCGTTGTGCAGAATATATATCTCTGGTCCGCTTCCCTCTGGTTTCGTCTCGATTACTTTCGACCATCAATCGCTTCTTAGACTCTTGTCAAGGCTCAACTCTACAAGTTTACCATCTTTCTCGACGTATTCCGTACATGACGCATCACTCCGGGTCCCAACCAACGTCTTGCTTCTCACCCACCACAGCTCTTCCCAAGATAGCAATACCAGCCGCTACAAGCATTATTCTACGCTAGCCGCCATCTCTTGTCAAATAGAAACGCTGCCGCAGCTCAACTCACTCTGCCACCAACGAATCCTGCATTTTGACCCCCTCCATCCCCTCCCGCCCACCCTTCTGCCTGTCGTTGGCCCGCATATATTTTGCCTGTTCCTCTTCTCGTCTGTCCGGGACAGAATGTTGGCCCAAACCCCCCCCAACAACTTCAAAATCACTCTGCCTGCTGTCAACCAGCCGCTTACATTTGACGATCTCCGACCAATTTCCTCCGCTGCTCTTGAAGAGCCTGCCAACTTTGCCGGCGACGCTTCCAGCCGACACTCTACTATGCAGCATACCTTTGCCTACAACGCTGCAGAGACTGCCACCCACTTTGACACCGTCTCCTACGATAGCGAGAGCGCGACATTGCAGCACAGTGCCGTTTACACCCTGCCTCTGTCCTCACCTACTCAGAGTCTCCTTAGTCACTCCATTGAAAGCGATTTTCCCATGGAGAGCTCACACGGACCCAAGACACCCGAAGAGTGGTCCACGATGTTGTCCAACGCCGACGAGGCCTACCAACAGTCGTGGAACGGCGGTGTCGCTCCATATTATGCTGCCCAGGACCAGGCCTCTCAGATTGCCCATCTCGGTGCTGTTTTCGATAATCAGCCAACCATACACTCTTCTGAGGAATTGCTCACTACTTCTACTGGCAGCGCCTACCCTCCCTTTTCTACCATGGCTCCTCTGCCGTACAGTCACGAAATGGGCCACAACGCTGCCAGCTCTGCAGTGCCCCGCGGTTTCAGCCAATACAGCGATGCCTTTTCTGGCCTGCTGCCTCTCTCGGCCGACAGCGATGCCAGACATTCGAGCCCTTCTTCCTTCAGCACTGGCGATGACGCCACTACCAACACACGCGCTTCCTCTGTCTCCATCCCTCGCAAGAGACAAAACCGGGAAATGAAGAAACAGCAGCGACGCCCATCGCCCGTCAGCATTGGGCACACTTCTCAGACCCTTTTGCCCTACCCGACTCCCTCCTCCGCCCCTCCTTCCACCTTGCCGTCCATGAGAAACTTGACAGAAAACGGCACTCGCGACTGCACGGAATGCAATTTGACCTTTCGCGATGCCCCTACTCTCCAGAAGCACATCAAGTCTGAGCACACACGACCACTACTCTGCGTCTTTCACTACGCTGGATGTACTTCGCGATTCGCTTCCAAAAACGAATGGAAGCGCCATGTTGCCTCGCAGCACCTTGCGCTCCGATACTGGATCTGTACCGAGGGAGCATGCGGCCAGACTCGCGGACCTTCTACCCGCTCTCGCGCCGCCTCTCTTCCCGCTTTCGGTTCCATCTTCAACCGCAAAGATCTCTACACCCAGCATATCCGCCGCATGCATCTGATTCCTGAGGGCAGTCCTATTCTGGGGCCTGCCTCAAAAAAGCCTATGCCCAGCGAAATTGAGGACCGTATGCGCGAGCTTCAGACCAACGCCGCTCGCACCCGCTGCTCCCTGCCTCGCTTCATGCTGTGCCCCGCGCCGGGCTGTACTACCGAGTTCCACGGCGCCAACGCCTGGGACGACCGTATGGAGCATGTCGCTTGCCACCTTGAGCGCGCCGCCGCCGGCGAGGAGCTTCTCGTGAACTTTGGCGGTTCTGGCGACTGGACCCTCACCGACTGGGCCGCGAGCGAGGGCGTCAACGTCACCCGCCAGACCTCGAGTGGCTCCTGGAAGCTGTGCAACCCCCTCCGCGGCGAGGGCGGCAGCTCCCGCGGCGGCCGCTCACGCACCAGCGTCTCCTCGGCTGCCGCCCGCCGAGCCTCGATGGCTCGCCATGGCGCAGACGAAGAGGATGCCGAGGGCGAGGACTGCAACAACGTCTGGAGCCGGTCATGACGAGTTGACAGAAACAAAAAGGATAGAGACTACCTACACTGGGTTCACACTGTCATGAATCTTTACTCTTAGCGAAGCGGGCTTTTTTCTGGTCATTCTGGGTTGCATTTTACTTGTGGGAAAAATGGATTTTATCTTTTCTTGGGTTTCAACATGCTTTTTTTTTCTATTTTATACCTCTACTCTTCTCAGAGCTTGGATTGTATCTTTTCTCCCTCTTCTTTTTTTTTCCAAAGTTACCGGATACAGAAGCATCACGGACGGCGTTTTGCGGATATTTCTCTCTACTCTTGGGTTATAGCTGGATGTTTCACAACAGATGGGATAGTAACAGACGGGATAGTAACAGACGGGATAGTAACAGACGGGACGGCAACTGATGGAATAGTACGGAATCTAGTTCGATGCACACATGCTTTGCACTTGGACTCTTTGCCTCTCTACCACTGTCGTGAATGTGACGGATGCGTAGAGCCCCCTCTGCACGAGCGGGCATCGTGAGCCAATCCAAAAATGGCCCATCCGCGTTGGGCACATCAATCAAGGCGTTCTTAATGGGTTGCTCCGCGGAGGTACGGAGGCTCGGAATTTAGGGGGGGCCGGCACTGGGATACGACAATTGAGAGGGCCTACCTACACACGTTGTCAGAAAGCAGGGCGACGGGCGAATCAGAGAGATTGCATGGATGAGCTCGTAGAGAGACAAAATAAAGGCCGAATTATGCCGTCAAGAATAAAGACGACTACAGAAGACTATAATAAACAAAGCGACATCAATAATCCAATCGGTAATGGCTGCATTAGCAATATACATTCACCCGCATTCCAGTCCCCTGAAAAAGGAGCTAAAAAACTCGAAATAGTGATGAATAAAAGAAACAATGGGTGAAAAAAAACATACTTGATCCATAACAAATGGGGCGTGCTTACTCGACTGCACATGTGAGATGGTATTGCCACAATCGCGGAAGCACACGTGTAAGCCAACAGCCCTGGTGTTGGAGTATCATTGACGTTGCCATCATGCAGCAGCCATAGCCCTTGCGGGTGGCAAGCGGGACTGTGCAGGCGCATCGCCGCCGCACTCTTTGAAACCCTTGACTCTTTGGGATCTTCGCTGCTGTCGTGCCTTGCATTCAACGGCATATCCTGGTTCATTAGCCTTGCGCCATTCAATCCACTCCTCATATGCCAGCTGGGCGCTAGCATTAGGTAAAGTAGGCTTTGGAACTGGCGGCCTGCGGGTATTGGCCGAAACAGTTGTCTTCTCTAGACCGGGCAAGAGCTGTGGATACGGACCAAGAGATGCAAGAGAGGCAAGGTATGGGAGGGCCGCAAGCTGCTGTGCGGCGAATTGATGAGCGGAAATGTTCCCACAAGGCGTCATCGGAGCTTGGATACCAGGCAACGGTGGAACAGCAAATACTGGTGGCTGTGGAGCTGGATTGCCAGGAAGATATTGGGAAGTGCCAAAAGTCTCCGGACCAGGTCCCATGTTGTAGGCTGGACCCATGGGCGCCGCTGGTGGCACTGGTGGGATAAAGGTACCGTTAGGAATATTGTCTTGAGCTCGGGGCGGCAAATAAGGATTGAAAGTAGGTGCAGCGGCTTTTGGTGGCCATACTGCAGTGGTAGGTGGCGGCAATGAGTTGAAGGCGTGCGAGACTTTCTCTTGCAAGGCCGCGGCGCCAGTATCCCAGGGTACTGGACGTCGAGGAGTTTGTTGATGCCCGAGTGAAAGAAACTCTCTGGCTCTTGGGTTCCACGTATTTTGCTTGCTGGAGCTCTGCATGGTATTTTCGGAGTCTTCACGGCTCATTACACTGATAACACTTGACTGGCCATGATCCCAATAGTCGACGTTGAAATCGGATATAGTCTGGTTGCGTCGGCCATCTCCTCCCATTGGTCTTCGTAAATTGACAAACATCTTCTGCTTAGGCTCAAGTCCGGGTAACTTATCTTTGGCCTGCATTTTGGTGGGCGATCGTGAGGCTTGAGCTGAGGGCGGGTGGTTATCGCGGTTAAGACGTTGGATCAGTCTTTGAAATGCCTGGTCACGACTGCTGCGAATGGCAGTTTGAGGAGACTGTATGGCTACATCCGCTGGTGTTTGACCGCGAGCATGGGGAACAGTCGACTCGTACGAGATGTCTTGATATTGATCTCTGTCGTAAATGTTACGCGATTCGTGTAGCTGAGTATGAGATGAGGTGGCCGACGACGACTGGCGACAGAACCTGTCAAGAGTTACAACCTGAGATAAGTCAGGAATTTGTATCTTGTCAGTATTGTGTGAAGAATCAGTTACTTCGGTAGCTGAGCTGAAAATTTGCTGATGACTTGATGGATTTCGGGAGACTTTGACATATTGTCGGTCATCGCTTGCAATGGATGGAGTTGGAGTCTCGGGGCAAATGTCAAGCTCGAAAATACTCATTTGTCGGCCATCTACAGGCTTTAAATCGATCTTTTTGAGAATTTTGACAAAGTTTTCCGAAGCTGACCATGACTCAGAAGAGTATCTGTCAAGCATTGAGAAGTCGGAGCTGCTTCGATCGTGCTGGAATGTGTCGTTGCTATGGAATTGAGGGGCTTGCGTGTAGAGTTTGTGGTTGGACAGATCCATAGAGGGCATCACATTTTCAATGTCTGCTGAAGATGCTGTGTCTTGGCGAGTCCTCCAGTTGGGATCCTTCATCGCCTTTGGCGTAGTGACATCGGGTTGTGCGCGTTCCTGGCAGATGCGCTTTATTCCACCGACTGCCTTCGTGGAGCTGGTCTTGGTCTTTGTAAGACGCATCGTATTTGCTTTTGTAATAGCTGAAGTGACCATGTTGCTCCTTGCATTAATCACTAGACTTGTTGATCGGGTCGGCGAAGTTCTGGGCTAAGTCGTGAATGCCCTGAGTGGATGACCCTTTTGTTTTCGTTTTCGCTATCAGGCAGGTTTTTTACTGCTCTCGCTTGAAATGGTAGATTCAAGAACAAGACTATGGCCTACGCCTCATGGGCCGAGGAAATGATATCGGGCTTGGTTCTAGAAATCGCTGAACGGCAGAAGTTGGCATGGACTGTGAGAGATGATTGTATGATGGTGACCGAAAGAGGCTCGCAAAGAAAGGAAACCTGCAATAACAATCTTGTTTTGGCTCGGCTAGGAAAATTTGCCGCTCAGCAACAGCAAGGTGAAGGTGCGACGCCTTTGCTGCAAGAAGTGACGGAAGGCGCGGTATCTGCCTGTATGACGTGGCCGAAAGAGTCTCTCGACGAAAGAAAAAAGACATATATTCAATGAAACGCTCAATTTTATGTGAAGTGCTAAATTTGAACAAGATGACGAAAAATGAAATGCCTGTACAAAGACCAACCGGCGGATCGCTCGTGGGCTAAACGCCCGAATAAGACTGGCCGCCCATGAAAGCAGCAAAGGCGCGCTGATGGAGTCAGCAATGTGGAGTTAAATTGGTACCTAGTGAGCAAGACTTACACCGTTTCGTGTCTGCATGTAGACGGTACCTGGGCCGGTAAATTTGCACACCAGACCTTCGGCAGAGGCGAGATTGGAAATGATGCCACCAGAGGCAACTCGCTCCAAGATGTACTTTGTGTTCCAAGCAACGAGATGACCATTATCGATGATGTATTTTTCACCATCGGCAAGCTAGTAATGATCGTTAGTAAGTGGCACGAAGGGTGAATCGAGGGTCGACTTGCGTCTTTTCGGATAATAGCACCGAAGCTGGAAACCCAGAGAATGCCGGTGCCGCTCATCTTGTAGACAAACAGGCCCTCGCCGCTGAACATGGCCTTGCCGAGACCCTGGCGCTTGTGGTCCTTGTGGACGCCCTGCGTAGAGGCGAGGTAGGCGTCGTGGCCGCACGTCCACTGGGCGGTGCCGTCGAGGCGGATGGTGGTGATGTCGCCGAGCATCGGGGGTGCGAGCAGCAGCTCGCCTGGGCCGATGTAGTGGGACTGACCGAGCTCGGCGCCGGAAATCATCTTTTTGACGCTGAACTTGAGCTCGCCGCGCAGGGTCATGGAGGGCGACATAGCAATCATGGCGCCGGGCTTGGCGCCGAGCGGACAACCCATGGCAAGTTGGATGGTCAGGATGGTGTTGCAGTCCCGGTGGCTGATGCGGTAGCTGCCGCCATTGAAGGTGCCGACGTCGTCGTTGGTGGCCACGGCGCCGACAAAGGCCGCGCCCGGGGCGCCTTGGGCAGAGGCGCCGGTTTGAGCAGAGAGCTGGCTGACCGGCCGGTTTGTGACCTGCTGCTGCTGCTGCTGAGCGGCTGCTCCCGCCTTCTCCGCGGGATATCCTCCGTCCGGGTGCGGATACGTGGGAGGAGCGGCAAACTGTGGCTGCTGCGGCTGAGGCTGTCGTAGCTGATGAGCATCTGCCTTTTCAGGTGGGTAGGCGGCGCCGGAGCTGGAAAAGGCAGGCGGAGGTTCGGCATACTGCTGCGAGTTGTGAGGGGAGTGGTACGTCTGACCAGTGCCGGGCCTCATGGCGAGGTTAGCATATTGAGGCGGCTGCTGCTGCTGCTGCTGCTCTGAAGGAGGGCCGGAGGGCGGCGGTGGGTAGTGAGGGGAGGGCGTGGCCTGTGGAGGAGGGGCATATTGCTTGCCGGGGCCGGTCGAAGAGGGCGGTGGAGGAGAATAAAACTGAGACTGGCCGCTCGGGGCGGCGGACGGAGGCGCGGGATAGTGCTTCATGGGCGGCGACGCGGTCGGGGGCGGCGCGTACTGCTGTTGGATGGGTGGTGAGGCGGTGGATGGCGGCGGCGCGTAGTGCTGGGCTGGAGGTGAGGTCGTCGGGGGCGGCGAGTAGATACGCTGCTTCTCCGGCGGCTGTTGCGAGGCTAGTCGTTGTGCATTGTTAGAGAGAAAGGGTGCGATGAAGATTATCGTGACTGGTGGAGGGCAAACGTACGAGTGGCACCGGGAGGAGCTGTATTTGAGGTTTGATGGTTAGCAAACGAGGTGGCAGATGGGGCGAGTAGTGGTGGATGGGGCTCACGAGGGTAGTAATTTTGAGGTTGTGCAGACATGGTGAGAATATTTCGCGTGATGCAATGTTGAATGGAGTAGAGAGGGAGGCTTTAGAGACTCGAATTGCGGGATCGAGAATATCGGCTGTTGTACGTGATGCCGCACGATTCCCCGCTTCGAAGTTCCCGTTGTGCAAGGCTGTATGGGGCAGGGACGCAATAGCAGGCGAATTTCTGACGAAGGCAATGAAGAGAATGGTGAAGCTCCTTGAAAGAAAAGGAAAGGAACAAAGCAAACGAAAAGTCACAACAGAGAGAAAATAGGTCAAAGTTGAAAAAACCTTGGCTACGCGTATACGGGTAGGTAAGCCTAAGCTCATTGCATTTCGGATGCCTCCCCCGCCAAGAACGCAGTCAGTGAGCTTCAGCCAATGACTTATCACGGACCTTGCTGGAGATCATGAAGAAATACAGGCCAATGGTTCGTGGCGGCGAGTTAGCGCTCGCGTGGAGAAGTTTGAGGGTCGGGCGCTTACAGGAGTGACGGGAGTGGACAATGGGTTCGTGCAGCACCAGCGGTGGACTTTTATGGTTTGCTATTATGATGACCCCTGCATTGGCAAGTACGTCATGAAAAGTGGTATGAGATGGGAAATATAGTGGTCTTGTCGAGTTCTGAAGCATTGCCAAAGGCACGCCTGTACAACATGTGCTAGTGGCTTCTTGAGAAGCGGCGTACAGCCATGAACATAGGTAGTTTGAGCCTTCTTTTTCCCCTTTGTCGTACAACTGTTCATCATTTTATCAGGTTGCTCAACGTGACATGATGACATGCGCAGCATTTAACCCATGTTACCCCGTGCCTGTCACCCGTGTTGCCGTGCTGCCGTGTTGCCATACCCGTCCAAGGGGTGGACAAAAAAAACTGCCGCTTTTAAAATACCACCTAACTACCTATCTTTTTAAATCTAATTATTATAAAGAATAGTAATAAATAAATTATAAAGAAATACTAGTAATATTCTTTTTCTATTATTATACTTATATATAATTTTACTTCTCTAAAAATAAACTTCTAATAATATTAAATAATTAATTTAAAAAGAGGATTTAAAAAAGTAAAATTATATAAAAATAAGAGATTATAAGTTAAAGAAAATTATTATAAATATATAATATATTTAATAAAAAGATTAAACTAGTAATTATATTATTTATATTTAGCTTTTTATTTTAGTAATTTTATAGATTTAAATATTTTATATTCTTTTATTTATCTTCTTAGTATTATCTCTTTTCTCTGCGAAATTTGGTGGCATAGAGGCTCTAGCAAAAGCGGCAGTTTTTTTTGTCCCCCACATGCCGTCCAGAGGCCATCGCCAAGAGGGAGACCCACGGCCTCCTCCATTTTTTAGGGACGGGACGGCTACCAGTGGTCAACTTAAATGCACGGCATGAAACACCTCGCTGTAGACTGTCGATCGTAGGTGGCAACGTAGGTTTGAGATCAGCCATCGACAGCCTGATGGGGCCGGGCCGCCCTGGACGTGGGCGGGCGGCAGCTTGAGGCTATTGTTGATTGTTTTAAGGGAATGCCGGCGCGCATAAAATGCTCCTTTTGTAAGTGCTTATCTTGAATTAAGCGGATAGTCTCCCACGACGGGTGGCAGGGCACCCTTTTCAGTGGCCAGCCAGCGCCTGTCAAAACGTTCCTGGTGGCCAACTCCTCGATCACGTCAACGCGCGCGGCGAATTCGCGGATCTTGTCATTAAAGGCGACCTGTGCTTAATGTTTACACAGATTTGCTTAGCCGGCGACCCGGCGACGTCGAGAATTGGCAACTCAAACATCAGAGGCGAGATGGCTAAAGACTGGCATTGTCGGCATTGATACGGGAAAATTGTAAGCGCCGATCTGCTGCGTGTCTTTGGTAAAGGTATCTTCCAGGCGCCCCCGCTGACCGGCGAAAATCTAGGTGGGGTAATACATCTGGCCCGTGTTAAGTGACCTTTCTTACATGGCCGGCTTGTCGGCGTCGGCGTGTCGATTTCGTGTTTGAACTACAGGCTGCACAGCAGAGATTAGCGTAATGAACGTCGCGTTACCCCGCTAAAAAAACGAAAACGCGTAGCATCTGAGGCTTAGTCATCAAACTGGTGGGCACCGCCTTGTCAGGACCCTCTTTGCATCTTGCAGCTAAGAATTTTTTCAATTCACGGCGGGCAAAAGTCGGTCTTCTACTTCAAGCCAGCAACCACTTACACCTCAGTAACTTTTCTTCCTTCTCAATACCCGATACCGACTACAACATGAAGATCGTTCTTGTCAATGGTGGAGTTATCTCCGGTGTCGGCAAGGGTATTATTGCCAGTAGTGCCGGCCTGTTACTGAAGACGATGGGACTCCGAGTTACGGCCCTCAAGATTGACCCCTACCTCAACACAGACGCCGGACTGCTCAATCCTCTAGAGCATGGAGAATGCTTTGTTTTGGCTGATGGTGGTGAAACTGATTTGGATCTTGGCAACTACGAGCGCTATCTTGGCATTCGTCTCAGCCGTGAAAGCAACATGACAACTGGAAAGATTTACGCCCACGTTATTGAGAAGGAACGTCGTGGAGACTATTTAGGGAAGACCGTCCAAGTCGTTCCTCACATCACCGACGCCATTCAAGAAGGGATTGAGCGCGTTGCCAACACTCCTGTCGATGACTCTGGCGAGGCTCCCGACGTATGCATTGTCGAGCTCGGTGGTACCGTTGGTGATCTTGAGTCCGGTCCATTTACGGAAGCTCTCGTCCAGCTAAGACACAAGCTCGGCCGCGAAAACTTCTTCAACATCTCCGTCTCATACGTTCCCATTATTAATAGCGAAGAGAAGACGAAGCCCACTCAGCACGCTATCAGACAAATGCGCAGCGCTGGTCTAATCCCTGACATGGTAGGCGCATGAACGACTGTAAGATGGGCGTTGCTGACTCGTTTTAGATTGCTTGTCGCTGCGAACGTTCTCTCGACGATTCCACGATCAAGAAGATTGCTAGCAGCTGCCAGGTCGAATATAAGCAGGTCATCGGCGTTCACGACATGGAGACCATCTACCAGGTTCCACTGCTACTCCAGGAGCAGGGCCTTCTGCAGCTCCTACAGAACGGCCTTGCACTGGATAAACTGACTGTGCCTCCGTCTATGGTCCAGAAAGGACAGGCTCTTTGGGATCTATGGAAGAGGACAGTCACACCTGAACGTCACCTGCCAGACGTTAACATCGTTCTGGTCGGCAAATACGTTTCTTTCGATGACGCCTACCTAAGTGTGCATAAGGCTCTAGAGCATTCCACTATGCGCTGCAGCCGCAAACTGAACCTCGTCTCGGTTGACTCGGAGCATCTTGAAAAGGACATGCAGCAAAAAGATCCCACCAAGTTTCATAATGCGTGGAAGGCTATTTGCGAAGCCGAGGGTATCATTGTGCCTGGAGGTTTCGGTTCTCGTGGCGTTGATGGCATGATAGAGGCCACCAAGTACGCTCGTGAACGTAAAATCCCCTTCCTAGGCATCTGCCTTGGTCTGCAGGTCGCTGTTATGGAGTTTGCGCGTCATGTATTAGGTATCAGCGATGCCATCTCAGAAGAAATGTCTCCTGAGGCGGACAGCAAGGTTGTCATTTTTATGCCTGAGGGCTCTAAGGAGTAAGTGACGCCCCTACAATACGGCTGGTAGTGCACTGCAGACTAACCTATGCAAAGGAAAATGGGCGGCACGATGAGACTTGGTACACGTACTTCTCACTTCAGACCTGGAACGGAATGGAGTAAGCTACGCGCTATGTATGGTGGAGCTGAGGTCGTCGAGGAGCGTCACCGTCATCGCTACGAGGTCAATCCCGAGTATATCGAGAGGCTAGACGCCGCTGGTCTTAGCTTAACATCTCTGGATGATAAGGGCGAGCGTGTCGAGACCATTGAGATTAAGGGCCATCCCTTCTTCGTCGGGTATGGACTATATCACACTTTGACTGATAACTTTATAATGTGCTAACTTTGCTATTTTTGCCCTAGTCTGCAAGCTCATCCCGAGCTTACGAGTAAGGTCCTTAGCCCTTCGCCTGCTCTTCTAGGCTTTGTCGCCGCCAGCTCTGGTTGCTTTGACACTGTGGTCAAGACTATGACCCAGAAGCAGGATGGTGCTAACGGAACCGGTGACGCTACGCTTTTCTAACAGGGCCACGCTATGTCATAGCTTAAGAGCTATGAAGGTGATTTTTAGCTACTCATTATAAACGCATCTTTAGATTTACGAAATTACTTGAGGGTTTTATAGACGGCGTTGGGCGCTCCAAAAACAGATTAAATAGCCCTTAAAACAGTCAATAGCTGCTCTTAGGGCTTAGGTAGAATGATTTGAGTTAGACTATAGAACTAATGTTGAAAAAGAAGAAGAAAAATATATAATGAATATATACAACTTAGTTACGCTCACCAGCGACGCCGCGTATATAGCAGCACAATATGAGGGACGCGAAAAAACCTACTGCCTTAAATAGCCCATTGAACGGCTGGTTCTAACTAAGTAGGTGTTCGTCACGTACGTGGCACGTACACGGCTATCAGTAGCCAGAAACAAGCCAGCAATAGCTAGCAAGAATCGAGCTTCTACATCACTATGTCTACTATATGGCTAGCTGTCTTATTCAATGATATCAATATTAAAAAGTAAGTACGAAGTAATAGGGAAGAGCGAGACATTGGAGGCTTATCCTTGTGCTTGTCACTCCTGGCCTCTGAACAATTGATGCCTAGATTGCAAGGCGCAAAATGGCAAACGTCGGGGCGTTTTTTTCGATCGTCACTGCAAGCACCCGGAACGGCGAGGCATGCCGTGCGACGGGATGACAACGGTTGCAAGGAAGTACGGCGAGGGGGCAAAAAAAAACGGTCGTGGCATAGCTACTTACCATCCGGTGGCAAAGATAGAAGGAGGGACTGAGGGGCAAACGGGCTAGAAAATTGTCGAATGCTCTCTTGCTTGTCCGCTTTTCTTACATTTATTTTTGGTCATTTGTACGGAGTACAGTGCCAATGTTTCCCGGGAACCTGGCACCTGGTCTTTGCTTTTAGTACGGAGTAGTGGATTTGCCGACGCTGCAACCACTTCATCCACAAGGGCCGCATCCAAAAGGCTCCAACGCGGGCCAAAATAATTAATAAAGCAACATGAGCCCCTGCAAGCCACTTTTACTCAATGGCGAAGAAAAAAAAAAAAAAAGGCAGCCGATACAACCACAAAACTCCCTCGAGAACATGTCTCTGGCCTGCGCGCGCGTCGGTACCACGCACCGGGAAGTCGGGGGCGGTTCAGTCGGTCGTTGCCTTTTTTTCTTTCTTATCCTTACTCGCCCGCATCATCCATCTTAGACTTTGTTCCATCTCACCATCTCTCCCATAATCCATCTCGGTTCTCCCAATTTCGGCCGCCAGCAAAGCTAGCCAGCCTTGTTTCTTGACACTCGAGGTCACACTATGGAGTAATTGGCTGGGCCTTCCCGCCGGCCTGCGCCACCGGTCGTCATCCAATGCTACGACACTACGAATACGTGCATGACCATCGTTTTCCATCAACAGTCACCATCCGTCATTGTGCAACGCTCCAACTCTCATGAAGCACCGTTTTTACTCCGGTGCCTTGGTCGTGGACTGAATACCAGCCAATTGCCTCGACCCTTGTCAGCCATGTTTCTCCCGCCTCGCGTCTAGTAACCATTGAGGCATTGTCCAAGCACCAAGTACTCGGTAGCGTTGCTCGTCTTCTCTCCTCTTTTCTCCTCACCTGTCACCAGAATATCACAAAATTACTCCCCCGGACAGCTCACCGTGCCAAGTAGAAAAAAAAAGAGGCTCCTCGAACTCTCGAACTCTTGCTATCTATTATCCCTTGATCATCATCTGCAGCTTGGTCGAACCCATATATAGAGCTTTTGCGCCGCGCCGCGCCACGCAACGATCTCCATTGTCGACGACGACGACGCCTTGACGCGAGTGATTCATCGACACAAGACAGACTGCCACAAAAGCTCTCGACGGGTCCTCTCGTGCATTTTTCTCAGGTTCTGGCCTCTCCCGTCAACCCGTCTGAATGAGAATTTTAGCCCTGGGCTGACGGTGCATCCCTGCCTTGTGGACTAGGTACTAGGGTGTGGCCCGTGTGGGTTGCCTTCCTTGTCCCTGTCCGCCGCCGACGCCGCCCCAGCGCCCCAGCGCCCCAGCGCCCTAGCGACCATTGTACCGCTACCAGTATCTCGGGTCCGCAAGGCACCGAATCTCGTCTCCCACGTTGCTCCTCTGATCTCGTCCGTTTTATTTTCTTCTTTTCTCTGTTCCCATTGTTTCCCTACCTCGTCGGCTAAGAAAAAAAAGACGCCATTACAATCTACCTCATTGTCGTCGGTACATACTGGACTCAACACCACCCGCCCGCCTATAGCATCATTGCTCACGCGTTCCTCTACCACGCCTCACCCATTCTACCTCTTGACCACCTCTTTTCCTCCTCATCCATGGGTCACATAGCCTCAGACTTTATGCATCATCCTGTCCGCTGCCGATAATAGTAGACAGGGCCAGCTCTGGGCGAGCATCATCATGGCGTCCCACCCAGGTGGCCATGATGCCCGCGGAAATGCACGGCCCGCGAACCTACCAGACGATGCCGCACGCACGCATCGTGACCCGGACAAGACGGGTACCCCACGAGACTCCTGTCGCCCCTTGGCTGCAGAGCCGCGACCTATACCTGCCACATTGGCACGCATACCCAGCAACGATGGACGCGCGCCGAGACCGAGGGCAGGAGAGTTGCATCGTCGCCGCAGTCAAGTTCTCTACTCGGCAGCTGGCGGCGAATCAAGCGCGCGGGGATCGGGCATCCAGAAGTCAGCGGCTCGCCCTTCAGAGCAAGCAACGACGGTGCGGAAATACGGCAGCCAGACGGATTCGTACCGGCCTGGGGCGGCAGCCGCGGCGACGCGAGAGAGGATGTATAAAATGCTACAAGCCGCTGCCAGCGAAGAAGACTTGGCCGCCTTGTCCCCATCAACCACTCAATTGAATGCAGATGACAAGCAAAAAGCTCCCATGACGGCAACACGACCAATCGCAATACCGCGGACACGGCGAAATGTGGATGTGGAGATGCTTGACGCCAGCATGCCGCCTCCGCCTCCGACGACCCAGGGCAACGGATCAAGCAGTGCTGTTCTATCCAGAAGTTTGCCGTTGGAAGCGCGAGATGAAGTGGGCGCACCGAGCCGCAACACAACAGGCGGCAGTGGCGGAGGCCTGAAGCGCAGCGCGAGCAATAGCTCGCAGACGGTGACGATTATCGAGTGCCCGGTTCTCGAGGTGGACGAGCTGTGCGGCAACGACGAGGACCTGTCATGGCTCAGCAATGATAAAGAGCTGGAGCAGATGCTGGCCCTGGCTTCGTCGCAGCGGCGGACCGGCCGGTCGAGCCTGGCGTTCAAGCGGTCGCACGAGGCGGCCATGCAGTGCTCGCAGGTGGTGCGCAACGTGCCGCGGATGCGCAAGCGACGACACAGAAAGCTGGACCGCCGAAGACTATCGCTGACGCTGTCGGATGGCACAATTTGTCAATCAGAAGGCACCATTTGCCTTTCGTCGTCGCCATCACCGACGGCCACGCCAGTCGGTTGAACTATGTCCAGTACATGGATGATTTTGAGGTGGTGCCATTGTATATTGCATTTTTCTTTTCCGGTTTTCTTTCCTTCACCTTTTAACTTTTTCCTCTCTTTCCTTTCTCTCTCTTCCTTGGTTTTTTCCTCTCTCCTTCACTATAATCGGTTGCTCCTCAGCATCACGGCGTTTTGTCATTCACACGAGCAACATATGCAGCTGGAAACACAGGCCAGACTGAGCCCTTTTGGATTGGAGGGAAAGTGATACATATACCCATGTCTTTTTACCCATTTACCCGGCGTTTTTCTTTCGGACAAGCAATGATGATTCAATCAGATACAATGTGTATACTTACTCTAACGACGCGCGGGTTTGTTTACATTTCTTTTTAGATGTTTTGCTCACTCTGATTCGTCATAGACCTGCTGTTGTCACTGCTATTTATAGACAGCCATAGAGGACTGGCACGGTATATTGTGATGCCCATGAGATTACATGATCATATGTGTGCGTTTTTCGGCAGCAGTTGGAATGCGTAATAAGATGTTTATCAATTAACGATTTTGAGCCATCAACATTGGCACGACGGAAATACCATCATCAATGACAATTAAGAGCATGTAAAACAGGTGTTGGTTGCTAGTTTTGACCAACGAAATTGGTAAACTGTTGATTCAAAAAGTGTAAAATTACATGCAGGCCTGGTGCCCTTGCAGCATAGATCTGGCCCGCTCATCAGACGGGACGCTAGGACAATGACAAGGGGGGCCGCAAGAGGAGACGGGATGGATCTTGGGGGGGCAAAGGAACAAGCGATGGCGGAGCCCCGGCCAGATTATAAAAAATTCAAATAAGAGAGGAGAAGTTGGACTATTGCTAATGGCGATGGATGATGCTGATAATGATGCTGATAATGATGTTGATGATGATAATGATGATACATGGAAGAAAAAGAAAAAGAGGAGCGAGCGCTGAAAGATTGCCCTTGGCGCAATTTGATGCAATCGAGGGCTGCGATTTGCTTAGGTAATGAAGCGAGTTTGTTTGTGCGGCCCGGTAATTAGGATTAGGTTATTAGGGCAGGGTCAGCGCATTGCATTGCATGAATGAGATGGCGATTTAGTTCTGCATAAGGGGGGCTTGGCGATGGCGCGCTGTCGATTACTTTTCCGAATCGGAGAGATTAATCATGGTAATTCTCGAATGGTCTCCCCGCCTTTATTTCCCTTCCTCTCTTTTGTAGCCCCTAAAATGCCTGCTCATGTGCCTTTTTACATGAACTTTTTTCAGATCACGGCATACGACGAGTACAGCTCCTTTCAAGTGCAGAGACTGCAGGTCAACTGTTTCAGTCTTGACTACATCATGGTGACAGGTTGACAGAAAGAGATGCCAAAGTGTGACAGTACAAGAACTAGGGGTTGCGAAAACTTCAGCTCGATGAAGAAACTAGTCTGATTGAGTATTAGATCATCCATGATAATGAAGAAGTGGCTCTCGGGGAGCAATGTCCACTGACCCCTCCCCTCACCCCCACCAAGTCGTGATGTGATGGGGGAGATGTGATGAACTCTTGGGTCGGGTAGAAGGGCTGCAAACTGCTACGTAGCTTTTTCCGAATCCCGCTGTAGCGTTCGATCACACCACAATGGGTGGGTTCTCGGGCGAATTGGTGGCCTCGCTAAACTTTGATTGCTTGTACTGGCGACTGAAGAGGGAGGCTGAAGAAGAAGACGTGACGAGAATGGGTACAGAAACTGACGAGAATGGATACAGCAGCTGACGAGATGGGTGCAACACTGACGAGATGGGTGCAACATTGACAAGATGGATAGAGAAGAGCGGATTAGAGTTTTACAAGTTCCCCTCCCCCTCCTCCTAAAGTGATCTAGCTACGGATACAAAAGATGATTTGCCTAGAGCCAGAACGGCTAAAGGAGGGTCAATAAGTGAGAAAAAAGACGCAGATGGAAACAACCAAAACGGTTAGATCTTTGGGGATTTTCCGGTGGCAATAGCGGTGGAAATGGTGGAACATGCTTTTTGTAAGGAAAAAAGAAAAAAAAAGGATGGGCTCGAAGAATCCCCTCCCCAGTCGACTCTAAACGATCAATACCACACACTTGACCATGCTAATAAAGGTTATCGGCGTGTTGAAGGTACGGGTAGTAAGTTTTCATGCTGCACGTGAGGATTCGGTTTCGCAGGACGTGCACGAAGTACACAAAGGTGAGAAGGAGATGAAACAAAAAAAAGAGGGCAAAAAAGAAAGATGTGGATGAGAGACAAAAACATGTGGTTGGCTTGGCAATGAGTGGGCAAAATACCAAACGAGGCAGACAGCAAAGATAAGAATAGACCGGCACGTCTCGCATCCGATAGAGATGAGACGATGCAAGCCACCATGCCTGAGCGTAGAGAGGGAAAGAGAGAGGGAAAGAGAGAGGGAGAGACGATGCCCGAGCGTAGAGAGAGTGAGAGCGATGTGGGCGATGGGAAATGGTAGAGACGGAGGAAATGATTGGGGGACACACTTTTACAGACATGGAGCGAGAAGGAGAGAAGCGGAGAGAGAGAGAGAGCGCGAGAGAGCGAGAAAGGTAGACAACAGATGGGGCAGCCCGGCTCAGCCCAAACAGGTGTGGCGCGACGGTAGACTCGATCGGGGGACATCGACTAAGAAATCAAAAAATGTAGTGACAGCGTCGCAAGCCATGGTCGTATTATCGACTAGAAATGAGTGGATATTTTATCTTTCCCACAACTAATAATAATTCTACAACTATCTGTTCGGAGCGTAGGAAGCAGTGGGGTCAAGGGGGGGGGATTTTTCTGACAACTAAATTAATCAATTCCTGGGACTCTACATATTTAGTTCTTTTGCGTGCTGGCAACTTACTTGATGCTAGGCCTCGGAATTAACCCAGCTTCTTTGATTGTGATGTCTTTTTTTTGTTTGTTTTTCGAACCGCAAAGAACGCTTGTTGACGACAGTGTCGGATTTGGATTGACGGAGGTTATGTAGTCACCAGACGTTTGCAAAGGCACTTTCATCGGACAGATGTACGTACTATGTAGTTGGTGGACGAGAGGCAGAAATGGGTGGATTCCGCGACCCCGCCTTTCCAGAGGTAAGGTAGGTACCAGCTCGTGCAGGCAGCTGCTGCTCATCACCACCACCACCACCACCACCCCCCATGTACAGCGGCAAGCGGGTTGGTGCCACGGAAGAATTCTGGACGAATTCCCTGTCTTTTGAAATCGTCCTACATTTTTTTGCTTCTTGGAGCTACTTTGCTAACATTAGAAGAGGGGACTCGAAGCGCTGAATTTAACTTTTTACCCTGCGACTTTTGCCCTGGGAAGGGGACAAAAAAAAAGGGCTGCCGCTAGCCCGCGGTCTGTGGGGGCTATATTGGCTTGGCTCGACGCAACCTATATACAAACGCCGTTTTGTCGATTGTCGTTCCGTTTGTCGTCGGCCCGGCCGCAAGGGCCTTTTTTTTCTTTACTCTTTCCTTCCTTGCAAAGCCTAATCGGCCGGCGACATGCGACTTTTGATTCCTCATTTCCTCATTGTCTTGACAGGGAAAAGTGTAACGTTTGGTCGAATGATTTATCCTTTTTTTTTTTTTTCGTTGTTACTCGCAGAGGGGGTCGTGTTAGTGATGAAAGACCTGGACAACGGAGAAAGAGGAAGTACTGATAGATGAATAATTTGTTACAAATCATATGGTAAAAAGGGATTCAATTCAAACAGAAAAAAGGCGTTTGTCATCACAGTCACACGGTCTTGAATGGCCATGAGTCTATGTTGCGGCCGTTGGCATGCCCACCCACCACACACACACACACACACACACTCATCCCCCGTGGATGCTTGCACCATGTACAAAGCAAGCCATCCATGCCAAAGCAGAGACACCAGATGGCCTGGCCTGTCGACTCGGCTTATTTCCCATCGTTGAATATTGTTTCCGCTCATCCGCCTGCGCTACTTGTCACAGTCACCACTGCCACCCACCCGTTATCAGCGGGCGTGAACTTCCGTGAATCATTTGTTCTTTTCATATTCCTTCTCACACTCGATTAATACCACCCCTGTTTGTTTGTATCTCTTCAACTCCTCTCCCGGGTTCCCCCCTGCATCCCACCAACCAATCGGCATCAGCGCCCCTTCCCAGCGTCGTATCATGGGGCTCCTCCCCGATCACAGCCTGCCATCCATCACTCATCCACTCAGCACAACCAGTAAAGAGCTGCCAACCCTGCAGCAAAGAACAAGAAGAAAAAGAAAAGAAACGACTATCCAAACTAGTTGGGAGCTGCTCGTTAACTCTCTTCCCGACTGTGATCGGGCTGCCGCATTACACCCAATCAACGTCGTTTGTCTTCCCCAGTCTTTAAGATTCACCTCTTTCTCTTTCTCTCTTTCGTCTTATCCCACCACCCAAAACGGGCATCATAGTTTTTTTTTATTCTATTTTTTTTTAATTTCTTCATCTCCCAGTGACCTTTCAATCAATACGTTGACCAGTTCCCTCCCCCACTCCTCCCTCAACTTGATGACTTCCTTCCCCCCACTTCATCATCCATGTCCAGAACCAAAAGCGTGAGGCCCGTCTCTCGCTCGCACCACCCACCACCACCACCACCTCAATGTAGCCAAGCCTCGTTGTAGATGTCGCCTAGTGGAGAGAATTGGGCAAAATCTGTCGATTCATCTCTTTTTGCACTAGCCTCTCTCTCTCTTTCTCTTTTCCTAACCCATCTCATTCTCGGTTCTGCCCACCTCTGCGAAAATCATAAAAAACTTAGTGTATTCAATCCCATGCCCACATAAACCTCGTCTTGCTGGAATGCATCTCCATTTCCCGCCCAAGCATTCCTGTCTCTGACGTCCTCCCCCCCTCCCATTGTCTGCCCAACTTTCATAGTAAATACAGCAAGTAAAACATTACTCTCCCCTCTCATCATACAGACCACTGAAGAATTTTGCGCCCCCGTTGCCGGGGACGACCAAAACGTTTCGTGGTTCCACACAAGACGGCACAGAGCCTTTGGACCAAAGAGAAAACGACAATCACGGCTGAAGCTCTCTGGTTTGCAAGCTAACGTTGCCCGCAAATGGGGAGGGGGGGGGACAGGAACTCGCAACAACTTGTCGCTGCCCCAGCTACCGCCCGCCCACCCGTCCTGCCCGTCCGTCTTGCCTCTTTGCTCATCTTGCTCGGCTTCCCTCTCCCCCCACAAATACCCGATATACACCATTTGCCCACTGCTCTCTCTCTTCTTCCCTACCCTTTGCTCTTCTTCCTTACTCCTCTTCTCCATGTTGACAGTGGTTGCCTGTTCTTCACTTTGCATGATCCGCTTCACGCCGGACTCTCTCGTCACAATCGCCCTCCCAGTCACCCAATCCGATTCGAGGCCCTGCCTTGACTTATACACTTCCAACTCATAGGGTCACCAACAAACCTGCTCACACTCGAGCAAGAACCAAACCTTCTCTCACCACTCTGCTGTCGCAGTCACATCGTAGCTTCGACAGCATCTCCAATACCTACCTGCCTGAACGGATTGATACTATCGCACCCCTTCCATATAATCATACATCCTCAGGGCCATGGCTCTCTGGACATCGTCCTACCCGGTCGACACGGGCGACCGGGACCCCAGCTTCGCCTGGCCTGACACCGACGTTCCCAGCGCCGGCCTCGACGAATCCCAGCACGACCTCTTTGCTCAGTTCCTCGACTTTGAGGCCGGCCACGGCAGCACCTCGTCGGCCACCGTCGCCGTCGCCGAGCCGTTTTACATGGACCCTTCCCACCACCACCACCACCCTCACCACCATGCTCATGGCGAGAGCAGCACAACCTCGTCCGGCGTCTCCAACGCAGACGAATTTGACTTTCTGTCGTCGAGCTCCAACCCCGGTGCCGCCGGCTATGATGTTGACCCCAGCACCCTCGCCATGTTCGCGCAGGACCCCGCAGCCATGTATTCAACCACCAGCGGCGTCACCGTCTCCGACACGGAGCTAGAGCGTCTGGAGGGCATCTCACTGCACTCACCGAAAAAGGGCGACGGGACGTTTGCGGATCGCGCCGCCTCGCCGACGCCCGTCGCCGCCCCGGCCATCGCGGTCAACGCCACCACCAACGCCGCAAACACCACCACCAACGCTCGCAGGAGCAAGAAGATCGTGGACGCCCTCTCGTCGACGTTTCGCAAGGCCACCACAATGCGCAAGACGCGCAAGGTCAGCCAGACCCTGCAGCGCGCCGTCTCCCCAAGCATGGAGAACCCGCCCATGGCCATTAAGCCCGGCAGCGCGCAATCGGCGGCCCCCGTCCCCCGCGGCCGCCGCGCTCACCGCGCCCACACTCAGCATGCCCTGCAGCACCAGCAGCAGCAGCACCAGCACCAGCAGCAGCAGGCGCACCAAATTTCTGAGTCCCCCCCTATACTGCAGATTAATACCGGTCTCGCCAACAGCGGCGGCTTCGTTGCGGGCCAGTTTGAGGACCCCTTTGGCGGGGAGATTTCGCCGACGCACGCGCCGCAGCCGCAATCGCAGCCGCCGCAGATGCGGTACTACAGCCAAGGTGGTCTCGGCACGCCTCTGGACTCGCCGACGCGCAGCGCCGCCATGCTCCAGCAACAGTGGCAGCAGCAGCAGCAGCAGCAGCACAACGGCGCGCAGCAACATCAGTGGTCGGCGGCCAGTAGCCAGCAGGAACTCTGGTGGGGAGGCGCCGCCGGTGGAGGAGCAATTGAAGCCAAGAATATAGACGCAAATATGGCCATGCACTCGCAGCACGGCGAGCTGCCGTACGATGTACACGCCGACGCCGGTCGCGTGGCCCCCAACGGGCTCTTGATTCACATGCCACAGCCGCGCCCCGGCAGCAGCAGCGTCCACGATCTCTCACTCAACGCGCACACGTATCTGCCGCCGCCGCCACCGGTGCCCACGGAGAATACACGCTCTGCGAGGCCGCCCCGTGCCCCGTCTTCTGGCGCGCGACACCACCACCGCACCACGTCTTCGAGTCCGATGCGCAAGCAGCGCGGTACATCGGTCTCGCCCTCGCCCGGCGGCAACGGCAGCGGCGGTGGCACACGGCAGTCGCGGCACAGCTCCGGCGGGTCAGCCGCATCATCCTCGCAGCGTAGCGCCTCGGGTCGCGTTAGCGTGCCCGGCACTCCGAGTAGCAGCGGCATCAAGAAGCGGCGGTCACGAGACGCTGGCAGCGGTAGCTTTTCCGCGGACGAAGCCGGTGGGTTTACACTTGTCGGCGGCGGCGGCGGTGGTGGTGGAGGTGGAGGCGGAGGAGGCATTGGATTCGTGAATTTCACGCCCAATGACGGCGGTGTGCTCATGACGGGCGTGGCGCCTAGCGGAAGCTCCAAGACAAAGGCGCGGCGCGAAAAAGAGGCACAGGAGCGCAGGAGACGCCTGAGCGAGGCAGCGATGAAGGCGGTGGCCGCGGCGGGAGGGGATATCCGGAAGCTCCGCGAGCAAGGGTTTGAGCTTTGACAAACCGCCGGATTACAGCGACCGCCGCTGCCTCGAGCGAATATGACCGAGTAAGGAGATGCATCATATCTCCTTGTGGTGCAAGAGTTGCAAAAAAAAAACTTGCAATTGGGGATGGTGTTTGGGGGACGTTTGCACTGCTTGCCGCACTGCTGCGGCAGCTAACGAAGCACGAAACCTGGCCCGAGCGCAAACACCATGATGGCCGCGCTCTTTCTTCTTTTTCCATCGACAACGAGGAAAAAAGTACTATTATAAGCATTATATCCACTTTCGAGGCACCCTGGCTTTTTATTGCCTTGGAATTCCTTTGCCAATCTTTTCTTGAGCACTTCAAGCCTTTCGACTTTTCTTTTTCTTCGCAAGCGGCATCGGAAGCAATGCCATGTTCCTCTGTACAACAAGCCAGAACAATCAGCGAACACGAATCGTCCTCTCCACCTTGACGGAATTTATTTCTTTTACAGTCTCTTCTTTGATGTCATTTTTGACATGATATTCTTTTCTCGCAGTCGTTGAGTTTTTTTCCTTTGTAGGAGTATTATTATTTTGGGTATTAGGCAGTGGGCAAATTTTTGATACTGGATTATCTTGTATGATATACGGGGTGGAACGATGGGTATTATATCTGGCTGGATGAGTAAAGGAGATGGATGTATTACGTGGCAAGGGATTGAAAATGTAAGGTTGGATACGGGCAAATGTTGGCGCATGGAAAACATGGGAGCCAAAGGTGTTTTGTTACTTTATCTTACTTAATAATGGGGATTCGGATAATATTCTACTATTGGAATATGTTGCTCGTCCATGTGTAAATTGAACGGTCAATGTCTACCTACAATGTAGTGCGAAGTGGACGTGGTACGAGCAAGGTGGCCTCGTGCAAGTAAGTGGACGATGCTTCCTCTGAGGGCGAATAATTCGGCATGATAAAGTCGAGAAAGCTAACTAGGATAATAACCCTGACACACATTCTGTTCTTCACAGCTTAGAAAGGACTCGCTGATTGGCACTACTGCCTGCCGGCCAACTTGCAACCTTCACCAATTTTGTCGTAATCTATCTAGCCATCTACATGTGAATCCTTTGGAATTGAAGGAGGACCTTATTGATCAGCTTATAATCATCTTTAGAGTGATGAAACACATACCTTTTCGACATATCGAACTCCCACTAGTATTCCATCGCCATCCAAGAATTCAGACTCGTCGCCGAAATCCTCATTGTTGGTATCCAGACAGGTCAAGCACGTCTTGACAAGATTCGTGTACAGATAACCCATCCGCCGCGGCAAAAGATCACTTGCCAATGCCACCAAGTCTTGTTTCAGAAGCACAGGACTGCCTCCCTCTGATCTTTTGGCGTTTTGCTGGAACCAGTCCGACGGCCGTGTCCTGGTCGCCGACGACGACCCGGTTTGCTCGGTATGCACAAACGACTCCCACAGTCCAATCTCGAGCAAGCACACCCCAAGACTGTAAATGTCATGCTGCATGACAAAATAGTCCACTGGGGATTGGCCATGGCGACTAGGGTGTCGGTACAAGTTTTGGCCCCAAATCTCATCGCCGAGTTTGTGCGTCATACCAAGGTCGAGCCGCAGCTTCTCAAACCCGATCAGAAACGCAGACGGCCGGCCAGATGTCTCGTCGCGCCGAATGACTACCGTTTCCGGCCTGATGTTCTTGTGGACGAATCCAAAGGCATGTACCAGGCTGATGGCTTCGGCAATGTTCTGTCCAATCTGCACAATGTCTGAGAGCGGCGGTGCGGGGGTAGACATGAGAGTGTCGCGGAGGCTGCGCGGTTCGGTAAAGCCCGCTGGCAGCCGGAAGAGGAGAGCAAGACTACTTGGGCCCGTTGTGTTGCTTGCCACGACGCCCTTGCAGGACAAGAGTCCGGCAAGATGGTCTTGGCTTGCCTCTATCTTCCGGGCCAGAGTTCGGACGTCTCGGGAAATGGGGCATGCCGAACGCGGCGGAGCCGGGTCGTAGCTGAAGGCGTCGATAAGGTATCGGTTCTGGTTCATGGTAATGACAGAGAAGCTTGACATTGCAACGGGGATGCGTTTGACATTACGCAGAGTCTCAGCTGGGAGAAACTTTCCCAGTTCGAATGACTTCGTCTGCCCACAAACGACGGTGGCGCTTTCGCCACCTGTGCTGCTGGGCGTCATGCCAGGTCCGGGGCTGCAAACCATGCTCTCCTGACTGCTATTTACCAACACACTGGAAGCCTTTAGCAGTCCTCGCCATTGCTCCAAAACATCGATTGCATCAACCAGTGCTTGCTTTTTGCAGGCAAAGCGCACACGCATGCGGCGATGCAGGTCACTATCCCGGGCCTCACCCGGCCGAATGCTCTTCGAAATGTCCAGCAGTTCTTTGTGGACAGTCTCCAACTTAAACAGGGTGATTCTGGTGGTTTCGCGATGGGACTGGCGCTGCTCCTCGGTCATGGCATCCGTGCGGTCCTGGTCGAGCTGGTGCTTGATCTGCAACCAGTTGTTCTCGACTCTCACTACCTGCTCGTAAAAGTCCTCCGGGGCGTTTTTGATGGCTTTGCAGAACTTGATGGTCTCTATGCCCGCTCTGAGTGGCTATTGATTAGTATGTGATGGATTCTGAGGGCAAGAGGGCATACGTACTGCAGCACGACGGGGGCCACGCCCACGACTCCCAGAGCGACGTCCGCCATTTCTGTCTTGTTGAGATTGTGTGGTAGATACAAGAGGTTCTCGAGGATGGATGTCAGCGAGGACGACATGGCTGGCTACATGGTGTTTAAATGCGAAGAGAACACATCTCTATCGGGCAACGATCACCCATTCGATACCTCGAACATTGAAGGGTTACTATAGCCCCCCGCAGACACTATGCTTCATGATCCTGGCCATGTTCCTCGTTGATAGGTGTTCCGCCTGCTGTTGTGGCCGCTCCGCAACTGCATTGTTGTCCCTGCATACAGTTTCTAAGATAAAGTGTTGAAATAGCTAGAGCTCATTGATTGGACCTCGTTACAGGTTTTTCGGTGCTTTGAGCTGCAGAATAATAGGGGCGTGGCGCATGTCGGCGGCTGGACGTTGAAATTCGGCATTCGCCATTCTGGGCGGCTACATCGAGCCAATAGCAGAACTTGGCCCCCAGCCTTGTAAAATGGAATCTATTCCTCCAAATAGTAAACCTTTTCAAAGTCACCTCTTTTTGGCCCTGTGGATACCTTTTTTCTCACAGTCCAATCTCCACAGAAAATGCAATTGATTTGAAAAAAAGTCGAAATGGAAGTCAGAGGGCAGGCTTATCCAACGTCTGGCTCCCTTTCACCTTGGGGTAGGCTCGTCGAAGCAATCCTCCCAGCCGCGTTTACCCGACTTCCAAAACGCCCGCAGCTTCTCCAACACCAGCAACGGCGCGACATCGCCCAGCGGGTTCCGCCACGTCCTGTCCAGACAGCGCGCCACAAATTCCCTGTCCTCTGCCGGGCCGTCCGCCGCGGCCACGCCCGCTACTAGCAGCGGCCACGACATGTTGGTCGTATCTGGCAAGGCCGGCCAGGTGTCGCGGAGACAAGCCAGCAGCTCGGTGCGCTGCGAGACGCGCAGACTGGCAATGTCAGGGCTGGTGACCGCGAGCAGGGATGGCTGTGGAGCGGCTATGGACGCGGGCAGCGAGAGGAGGCCGTAGAGACGGGTCGCGAGCTGGAAGAGCCGGCCGATGGCGGGCGTGACGGCTCCGCGGTAAAACTCGAGCTCGTCGGCCCACGCATGCGGGTCAAAAGCGTTGATCTGTTGAAACAGATGCTGCATGCGTTGCCGCAATTCCGAATTCCTTCTTGTCCGAGATGCAGCGTGGACTCGGACTTGCGTAATGTGTCTCAAAACCACGACCAACTCTACTGGAAAGGGCCGCGTACTGTCCTCGTCAGCGAGTATAGTCCTGATGTCGTCGTCGGTGTAGCCGAGATGACCGGTGATTTGATGCGTCGTGGGGCTGGTGGCATTGCTCACAATCGCTTGGCTAATTTGGTAGTTGGGTCAGCGTCACCACACGTAGTGCTATCGTGCGTGGAGATCAAAGGAGCAGGGCTTACAGAACCAATTGTCTAAAGAAGATTGTCGGCCCAGGCAGGCTCAGGGCCGCTCTAGGGCCACCCACGAGCTGCGCATAAGCGAGGGCGCCCTTGACGTGGGCCTGCCACAGCGACTCGTTGAGCGTGAGGTCAAACGAGAGCAAGTTCCAGAGGTAGTGAAATGCGCGCGATGTGCCGCCGCCGCTCCCACTGCCCCGGATGCAGCGGTTGACCATGCCGAGAAACTCGATCAGGTAGCGCGAGTAGTTTTGCCGCATCGCCGCAAACTGCGGCTCCTCCCAAAACGACACGAGCCGGCCGCGGCGCCGGGACACGGTCACGGCCTGGTACCCAATGATCTGGCAGACGAAACGCGCCGCCATGGCGTCGCCGGTGTGAAACGGCGGGTCCTGGATGTCGTGCGTGCCATGCTCGGCCACGCGGATCGGCCTGACAAAGGCGCAGTCTGCCAGCGATTGCAATTAGCGGCCGAGGGTGTTGTCAGGCTGAGGAGTTGGCGGGAACGTACAATACCGGATCGCTTCCATGAAATGCCAGTTCGGGGGCTCGGCCTGCGCAACAAGAGGCGAAGACGACGAAGACGACGACGGCGAGGACGGTGTTAGTTTCGGCGCTAGCGGCCGGGACTGCTGCGACGCCGATAGAACGGGGCGATGGCGCAGCGTATATGCGCAGGTAAGTCCTCTGGCGATGCACTTTTTACAGCGAGGGTGCGTCTCGTCGCACTTGATTCGGCGGACTCTAACATACACACAACGGCGCGAGACGAGCAAGTCAGTCAATACTGAGACACTTCAACCGGGGGAAGGGGGGGGGGGGGGGGGGGGCTTGCTCGGCACCTACCGGCAAGTTTGGCATCCTGTGCGGACTTTGGGTGCCCATCGCTTCTGCCGCGTGGGATCGGCTTCCTGGAGCCGGGTCGTCATGATAGGCTGTTGATGGGGACGAACTGCGCAAGGGGGTGTGATTGCACGTGTGTAAAGTGCATATTTGATCGAGGTGGTTTGGGGAGAACAAACGATGCGCGGAACGGGGAACGGGCAGGCCCGTTTGTGGCTAAATTTAGCATTTCCCAGTGGAAATGATTGCACGCTACAGCGGGCACTTGACGCTGATTAGCGGCTCGGATTGCGGGGGGCTTTTTTCCGCTGTTATGCTTATCTCAACGGCTGAAATGCACTTCAAAACTTTGTCTGCCTCGCGTTGAAGAGTTCTGCAGATCGACTTTCACCGCATCAGCTCGCTGCTGTTTCTAAATGGGTTGCGGCAGTTTGGACAGGTACTTTCCGTGAATAGAAACCCGGATCACCATTCTTGTTGTCAATTGGCAAGACAGTCGGGTCCGAGCTCACTGAGTCCCCCTCTCCCCCGCTCGGCAGCATCAAGATTGAATCCATACCTATTTTTTTTACCCTGCACTCGCTAAATCAACCGCGGGGTTGAGTCAAACATGGCCAGAACGACAAATCGAACCAAACTGCATCATCCCGTCCTTGCACGCCGTCTGCAAACAACCCCTGTCGGATATTGCGCTTGCGCCCGGCTCACCAAGAGGTCTCGGAGCCCAGCCAGCCAGAACCGCAAAGCTACAAGTTGCGCCCGCGTGCGTAAAACATCAAACGAGGTCGCTTGATCAACATGAACAATTCCAAACACTCGTCGAGCCTTGACGCGTTCATCAGCCGATCATGCTCCGAGCGCGCATTTTTTCTTCTCTTCTTCTTTGTCGTGGTCGCTTTGCATCAACGCCCTCTGTAAAGAGGTCTGAGACAACAAGTTCTGCGCGCCGTACTGGGCAAAGCAAGCAGGATGCGTGGAATATAAAAAGGTCGAATACTTCACCATATCTGGAGGAGGAAACAGGTCGAACAAGACAAGCTCTGAGTTATCTTCGGATACGATAACAACGTTTTGAAACCCTTCAACAGTCAGTCTCTCTTCTTCTCCTCGTTGAACCCCCCTCCCCGGCGTCATTATACTAACACGGGTTCAAGCTGCAAAGCTTCAATATGAGATCCTTTCTCGGCCCTCTTGCCGCCGTCCTCGCGCTGGCCGGGCAGCTTCTCGCCTCCCCTGTCGAGGCCGAGGCCTTAGAGAGCGAGTCGTCGCCCACTCCCGCCGACGTCGACATCGACGCCGACATTTCCCTCGACGACGACTCGCTCTCTCTCAACATGACGACAGACCTGGCCCTCTCCTCCTCCCTCGCGCGCCGCAGCGGCTGCAACCAGTCCAATTGCCCCGACTCGCGCTTCGGCTTCGACGTCTTGAGCAACAAGCTGCGCTGGAGCGAATGGTTCTACTTCCTGCGCTGGTGGGGCACGTGCGGCTGTCAAAAGGTACAAATCTTCAAGGACGGCTGTAAAACCTTTACCATTTGCTCCGGTACGCACTCCGTCTGCATGGACTGGAAGCAGGGCCGCGCACACTGGGTCGACCCGGGCGGTGTCAAGCGCTGCTACACCCTGACCGATGAGTACCTGTGCGACGGAAAAATGTGGGCGGCCTGGCCTACAGGCGAGGTCGCCTGCACCTGGTAGAGAACACGGGACTCCGTCTGTGCCGACTTGGATGAATTGAGTTTACGATACGGGCCATCATTAACCTTGTTAGTAACTTGTGCTTGAATGCTTTCATGGTCAACCATTTCAAAGCATGAATATATGAGAGAAACAATCACTTGCACGAAACCTCCAACTCCATATGCTTTGCTACGTCACTTCACCTTCACTGACTCGCAAAAGGTAATAAAATACTTTGTTTGTCCGTAGACAGGTACCCTAAAAATCCTTTGCTTCTACCTTCCCAATATCAAATATATACAAGGTACCGGTAGAAACAACTACTTGAGGGCGCCGCAAAAACCATCCCAACGCCAGTTTCAGAACCAAAAAAAGCAGATTGGCGGCTCATCCAACAATTATCAATTATGGCAAGCCCGAGGCCAATATGGCAAGGCTCTAGAGTCAGCTATGCAATCAAACTCGGGACAAGGAAACTCGTGTCAAAGGAGTCGTTTAGTGGTCGTATCCCGCTCCACGCTGCCAAGGACTATGATTTGTTAGTGTTATGATTGATAGACCGAGAGTGCATTATTTACCTGGACGAGTTTTGTTGTCTATAATTGCCTTGGCCAGGAGGCGGTGCACGCTGCTGTGGAGGAGGTCCACGACTCTGCATCTGAGGTGAAGGCCCGCGACTTTGCATTTGCGGTGACGGCCCGCGGTTCATCTGCGGCGAAGGTGCTCGGCCGTGCTGTGGAGACGGCCCGCGGTTAGGAATCGGCCCTCTTTGAGGCGAAGGACCCAGGGACGCCTGGTTGCCGTATGGGTTGGACTGTGATGGACTTGGCGACTGCGAGCGGTAGGGGCTCTCAGACCGAGCACCTGGGAACAGGGGCATCGAGGGGTTGACGGGCGATCTGGGGCCCTGACCGCCCTGGTGGAAAGACGTCTGCGACTGATTGTTGGATGAAAAAGGATCCTGGCGGCCAGGGTCGAGAAGAGAGTCATGGTCATCGTCAAGGTCAACAGGAGCTTTGTAGCCACCCATCTTGTCGCCACGGGCAGTGGCACCGAGAGCATCGAGTTCAGTGTTGCCGTTGAGTTGGGTCTGGGACTTCATAAAGGAAGCGCGATCGTCGGCCATGTACTGGTAGCGGGCATCGGGGTTCTTGCGGAAGAAGCTGATGGTGGTAGATATGATGACCATGAGGAGTAGAATGAGAGAGAAGGCGGCGTTGAGAACAAAGAGAACGACACCGACAATACCAATCATGAGCGTAGGAGCGCTAAAGATGTTGGAAAAAATGAGGAGAAAGACGGCGTTTAGGAAGTTAATGACGCAGATGGCAATGTTGAAGGAGTTCGTAGGCTTGTCCATCCATGGTCTCATGACAGAAGCGGCAATCAGAGCGCCAACTTCGACAATGAGCAGGCAGATGGCCTGGGCAACCGAGTTATTCTGGCCAAAAGCAATGACCATGGACTTGATGAGGGCATAGACAAGGACAGGGACGATACAGTAATATGCAGAGGCGCGGAATTGCATGTAGAGGAAACCCCAGCGATTGAGAGCCTGAGGGTCGGAGAAGAGAATGTAGGCCGGGTTCTTGTGCATGACGATGGAGCGGCGGGCGATGCGAATGACCTTGCTGGCACCCCAGCCGAGAGTAACGACTAGACCAAAGAGAAAAACAACGGCCAAGACAACTTCGGCGGGCGAATCAATCTGGGTAAACTCCCACAGGCAGAGAAGAGTGACGCCGGGGAAGCCGAGAAGCGCAACGCGGTAGAGGATACCTTTGAGCACGGTGAGCCAGCCATTACGGAAATCGAGGAAGCGGTCGTTTTTCATGATTTGATTTTTGGCAAGAAGCTCGCAGATGCCCTTAAAAGCGGCGACACCAAGGACGGTGAAGAAGCCAAACAGAACGAAAAAAATGAGACCAGTCATGAAGAGATTCGTGGTCTCGATCTTGGCGCGGAAAGCCACACGCTGAATACCGTAGACAACGTATGTGCCCTGGCTAGTCTCGATGTTGGCGCGCTTGGCAATGGAGTGGACGACCTTGGGGGCCATGGCGACGGCGCGATTAAACAAGTCGACGCCGGTGTTGACAGTAGCCTCGGCCACGTCGAGGCCTCTCTTTTGAACCAGAACAGAGCGGGTGAGCATGGAGTCAAAGATGGTGGAAGGCTTGCCACCGGTAGCACGTTGATACCAAGTAGTGAGATCCTGGAGAAAGCCAACACGAATGATGCCGAGGGACCATTGGAAATCCTGAGTCCATGCCATGACAATGGGGGGCATCTTGACGCTGGTGAGGCCGACAATGGCCTGGGACTGGAAGTAGCCAAAGAGCGAAAGCGAGTTGGCGGCGACGTGAGCGGCCGTATTGTACTGGCCGAGACCGTTGACAATGGCAGAGGAGATGAGGGCCAGGCCAGAAATAATGGCGGTAGCCCACTTGACTCCAGCCAAGTCGACCGTCTTTCCGTTGGAGATGTCGGCCTCGACACAGGCAATGGCGCCAGAACCGTCGGTGGAGTTGATGAGAACGCGGACCTTGGCGTCGAGATCGGGAATGGCGTAGGCAATTCCGGGTATGTTGGCAGCGGCACCTTCGCCTAGGTTGAGGTTGAAGTCGAGAGGAATCTTACCGGCGACCATGGGGCAGAGACCAGAGAGGGTTGTCTTGCAGGGATCGACAGCCTGGCGAATAATCTGGTAGCCGTAGGCCTGAACACTGACATCGAAGTTGACATAGCCGTGGATGGACGAGGTAGCGACCATGGAGATAAAAGCGGTATTGTTGTTGGGAGTGAAGGTGACCCTGAAGAGAGAGGCGGAGAAGCCCGAGTTGTCCTGACAGGTGCTGAGGGCGAGAGACTGTAACTTTCTGTCGGCATGGGCGGGCGAGAGCAGAGAGGCGGCGGCTGCTAGCAATAGTAGCGGCGCCTTGAGAAAGGACCGCATGGTTTTGACTGAGGCGAGGAGGATACGAGGTCGCGTTCGGAGGCGAGGGGGTAGAATGCTGTCAGCGAGTAAGATTCGGTGGGCTCTCGAAGTGTTTGTTCGAAGGACGCTGAAGAGAAGCGATGCGCAGGCGCTTAGAAAAAAAAGAGAAAAATGTTTTCTACCAGAGAAAGACAAACGCAGGGTGTAAGTTGAATGGACGACTCAAAAATGAAGAAACAAATAATAACGAAAGGAGAAGACGAGATAGCGAGTGTCGACAAAGGGGTGAAGAAGCAGGAGGGGGACAAAGAATTTGCCGCTTGCCGCTTGCCGCTCGGTTCCCTTATTTTGTCAAGAAATACGTCAACGTGCTGAGAAAAGGAAGAAGATGAGGATGAATCACGAAATGGTTGGTGATGGGTTGGGAGAAGAAAAAAGGCGGCAGCTCGCCAAGATGATTGATTACCAGGGAAGTAAGGGGGGGGTTCCTTGGGGATGGATTTGGCTGCGCCGCCTGACAGAGGAACGAAGCGGCCCCTTGCACAGCGAGTGGGTGGGGACACATTTGGCTGGGCTAGACAATGCCGACCTTGGCAGATGGCTATGGCTAGACTAACCATGATTGGCTCAACGTGCAGGGATCTGACATTTGCTCGATGCTACAGCGCATGAGAGCGCTGAACTTGAAGGTGCTGCAGGCGCCCACTGCGGCCTGCACCAAATCTGCAGCAAATCACAGCGACGTAGAGGCGGCTGGCGGGGTTGGGGGCGATAATCCATCGACCGGGCGTGCCAGGGAAGTGGAGCCAAAATGGGCTGTGCAGTACTTGACATTTCCTTGGTGTTGGGTGGGAGATGGAGGTACTCGAAACAAGCCATGTCTGGTCACTGGCGCCGAGGCACTAACAGAAGATTAGCTCTAATAAATACGGTGTACCTATCCTGTTGAAGGTCTCCCATGGTATGCGACTGTTGGCTGGCATGCAAATAACCGACGAGCAAGACAAAAAGGAAACCCAAAAGAAGAAAAGAAGAAACAGTGTCCGTACTCTAAATAGGAAGACGTCCAATTCTGTAACTCGAGCCGCTCGCCGTATTCAGCCGTTTTATGTACCACAGCTGCAGCCAGCCGTCACGACCACGAGCCAGTCTAGACAATGCAGTCCAATACCAACTTTGTTGCAATTGTCTCTTGAGCCCTCAATCGCTCGTGCCCAGCTTATTATACTGCCCAGCCTTCTAGTCCTCCGTATGCCACCCTCTCCACTCACTGACATGCAGTGCCGACGGCTCCCCGCAGAACTGACGAGGAGAAAACGACAGGGCAATCTACGCGGATATAGCGGGGAGCAGGATGCCTGCAGTCCTTGGGCTTTTTTTTATAGCTATTTACGCGTATAATGGACGATTGGATGTGTTGGCCATCACATTGTAAATACCAGCAGCGCAACTACGAAACCCGTCGCTAGCCAAGTCCCTGGGTCAGCAGCCATTGGCTCGGCACCCCGCTACAGCACCAGACACAACACTTTCGACAATAACTAGTTAATTTTAGCTCTCAACTTGATTCCAGTCTCGTCCAGAGGTGGGGTCCGGTATATAGCACCTCGTCTCCACTATTTTAACGTAAAAATAACGGGCAATAGCTTGCGCTACTGCCAGGGGTAATTAACGGGGCTGGAGGGCCAACTTGAACTCGCCTGACCTGGATTAGTTACAACTGTAGCTATAACCAACAAGGGCACGAAGAGAAAAAATTACTGAAAAGACGATAAGGGGGGGAGGGGGGAGGGGATAATTGCAATACTGGACGGGCAACGACAACAGGCACAGATCCCCCCCCTTTTGCTTTGCATAGCCGCGTCGCCAAGCATAAAGGCGCGAACCTAGAGCCGAAAAAAAAAAACACGGCGTGTTCCCCCTTTCAACCACCACCGCAAATGCCCGGGCTACCCAGCCTCAGCCCAGCCTTCTTTCGCCTGGCATCTTGGCAGCCGAGTTTATTACGAGCCGCCAAGCCGCCCTTGAGCAAACACAACACCAAAGTAAAACAAGATTAGCAGCTGCTTGCCTAGAAATGCCCTCTTGGCTTGCCTTGTTCGTACCTCACTACAAAATTGTCAACATCAAACGGGGCCAGCTAGCCGGTCCTGTCCTCATCACACGATGCTAGTACAGGTGCTGTACGAGTACCTTTTTTTCTCTCCAGACGCTTTTGCAAGAGCCATCATTCCCACATGCCACATTAACGTCTCAGTCCCCCCCGGAAAGTTGACCTCCCGGCCCTGCCGGTCCCCCGCGTTGCTGCAGGGTATCGCCGCATCAGCGACTCGAAAGTGGATGAAATCGAAAATGTACGGATTAATCCCCACGGGATGGATGGACTTGGCCCGCATCGGCATGGCATTGCCGTCTTTGCCAGTACATGAAGATTTCTCCCTGTTTGGTTTGGCTCTGCAACCCTGGCTGTTGAACCTGAAACGTCGTGCCTTGTCGCAGGCCAATTTTGAGCTTGGTGCGCGGCTTGCCACATGGTAGCAGCCGTTGCCCGTCGTTTCACCCCAGCTTCAGATGACATAGGCCCTGAACAATAGACGATTTGCTCACTACAGAGCATGTCACACCTATTTTTTGCTAGATTGGACTCGAGTGACCTATTCCTCCTGAACATTGTGAGACGGAGTTGTGCAGACAGTAGCGAAAACTTAACCGAGATGCGAATAAAGCGTGTCCCGTGTACATCATTAAATGACATTATCGACACCATCGTCAAGATATATACTTTATACATTATCGAAGCGTCCCAATGATAGTAAATTAAAGTCCAAGACAGTCAATTCAGCCCGTCAGTAGATTGTCAGCACATGACAAAACACATCTTCACAGCACATCCCACCGCGTATTCCACGGCTTATTCCCCATCGAATAGTCCACGCCATGCTTGTACCCGCTCATCAGCTCCTCCTGATCCACGCCGCAGTGCGTCTGCCCATCTCGTCCCTCAAACCACCCCAGTCCGTACGTCGTCTGCGCGCCCGCGCCCTCCTTCAACCTCCTCGCCATCTGCGCGCTGTTGAGCTTGGCCGTGCCCACGAAATTATACAACATCTTGCTCTGGTGGATAAACGCGAGCACCGAGGCAATCGTGTTGGGCTGCCGCGGCAGGAACGGGTGCCGTCGCCGCGCAAACACAATGACCGCCACGACCAGCATGTACAGTAGCACAAAGATGACCAGCCCAAAGCTCACTGAAAACGACGCAAACGTGTCCTGCCCCGCATAGATGCTCGTGATGTTGTCGGTCGTTGGGGAGGAGGAGGAGGAGAACAAGGCGTCGCTGCCTTCCGAGACGTAAGCCTTGACGAAGCCCTGCCCGTCCGACGTCGTCAGACCCGTGACGAGGACGGTCAGAAACTCGGCGAGGATGCTACCAAAGCCCACGAAAAACATGACGAGGTGTCCGTTGGCGAGCGCCCGCAGCGGGAGATAACCAAATGGCAGCGCTGTGTAGTCGAGCGTGAGGATTTTAGAAGGTGCGTGTCGCTTGGACAGAATGTAGTAGGGCTCCATCATGCGCACCGCCGTCTCCATGCTGTTCCACGAGAGCTTGAGGCAAACAGCCCACGCCGTCGCAAACCAAGGCGCCTTATCCGTCACGACCCCGGCATCGGTAAATACAAATGCGGGCACGAATCCCAGGAACGCAATCAGGCCGACGATAAATGTGATGCATCCCGCGGGCCGCAGCATCAGCGGGTGCGGGTTGTCTGACATGTGGACGAGCGCGTCGTCGTCGAACTTTTCGCGGTCCTGGCTCGACGCGGGGTTCTCGTCGTCGGGCGCCAGCGACGAGTTCTTGAGCATGTAGCGGTGGTACTTGAGCCTGTGGTGGATGTCGTTGTACTTGGCCGTGTCCATGTCTTTGAAATCCATAAGGATGTGGCTCACCACCGCCATGGACGCGAGGCCCGCGATGCCGCGTACGTCCGAGTTGAGACCCGACCGGCGCTTCTGCAGCAGGATAAACAGGACGCTGGCGAGCACTGCGCAGACGGCCAGGGTTGACGTCAGAAGACGCGACCACGTTGGGGAGAAAGTCAGCGTCTTTTCCGCCTCGGGATTCATCTTGCGCTCGCGCAGGCTCGGCGTCAGGATGACCGACGCAGCGGCAAACGTCGGCCCCAGGGAGCCCGCGAGCAGCGTGCCGAGGGACGAGACGGCGACGGTGTAGTGCCCGAGCTTGAGCGCGCGAAGGGGCCGGAAGACGTTGAAGCTCGTGACATAGTCGACGTTGATGGACTCGGCAGCCAGCGCGCCGCCGTCCTTGGAGAGCTGGTAAAAGGCCTCGAGGCGGCGCACTTCAAAGTCGGTAAATTGCCACAGCACACCGTATACGGCCGCGGCGAGCGTCGGCAGGAACTTGACGGCAAAGTAGATGAGCGGCTTCACTTCGTTGGGCGAGACAAACGTCAGGATGGGCGTGTTGTGGAAGCGCCGAAACAGAATCTCCTGCATGACGGCCAGGCCGGCCGAGACGAGCACAAGCAGCGTGAGGTGCGGCCATCGCATCGACCAGGGCTTCCAGTTGGGCTTGGGAAAAAATATTTGCCTCTTGGGCGCTGCGCTGGGAAACATGGAGCGCCGCAGCTCGTCGTTTGACTCATTGTGAAGGGAGATGCTGCCGCCCTCAATGCTGCTCAAGTCCGCGCTCGGCTCTTCGATAATGACTTCAATCACGCGGCCCAAGCGGTCCGCTTCGTCCTGACCTCGTGTCTTGATCGTCTCCGCGCGCGTCGGCGGCCGCGACGCCCGGTTAAAGGTAAAGGACCGGGACAGGCTCCGGGCGCTGCTCGGCGAGGCGAGCAGCTCAGCGTCGCGCAGCGTCGAGTCCGCGCGGAAACCCTGGCCCAGACCGCCGGACAACATGCCCTTTGCTTCCTGCTGCTGCCACTGGACATTGTACTCGTTTTCGTGTGCCGACAGCGGGCCGAGCGCCGACCCGACGTCGAAGCCTACGGGCGACATGGGCGTCATTTCGTCCGAAACCTGGCGCTGGTGCTGATAAGATGTAGGCGTCATGCCCATGGGCGCCGGGTGGGAGAGCAGTGTCATGGCGTAGGACTCGTCGTCGCCCGTCTCGGGGATGGTACTGTGCAGTGTCGGCGCATAGCTGCTCCGCGAGCGAAAGCTCGTCGCTGAGGATCGCCGGCTGGGCGGTGGCCGTGGTGCTTCGCTGCCGCCCGTGAGCGGCGCGTAACGTCGCGAGCCAGCGTACGAGAGCGTTCCACGCCACGAAGGCCTTCGGGATTGCTGCGGCGTCGCGGGGTCCCCAAACGGAGAGCCGCTGGCGCGGGTGCTGCCGCCGCTACTGTACAGCGACGACGGCGAGGCAATAGCATGGATCGGGCTGCCGAGAACCGATTCACTGACGGTGGATGCCTCGTAGGGGCTAATGCCAATATCGGTGACGTCGGAAATGTTGGAGGCTCGACGGGACAGCTCGTGCTCTGAGAAGGGACGAGGAAAGGGAGAAGCAGCGGCGGCGGCGAAGCTCTGGCGCAGAGGCTCCTTGCCTCGTTCGCTATGAGGATTCATACCTTGCAAACCAAACCATGGTCGGAACGCCAGAAGGACGAGCACGAATGACACGTCTTGTCTTTAGGTGAGGCTGGCGGTAAGCAGCAAGCTGCCTGGTTCCTGGCGCTAGCTGTAGGTAGTTACCGGTTAAAAATTGGAGTAAAATTAAGCAACGGCGCCGTGATGTGGGCGGATTCGGGTCCGGCGTAGGTATCTTTGCCGGCGTATACGAGAGAAAAAAAAATTGTCGAGAAGAGACAAAAATGAAGAAATGAGCAAGAAGACTGGAACGAACGACTTGGACAAAGAGAAAGAGGAACCCAGCTGGTCCTCAGCCGGGGCGTCGGAGTTGGAGCTGAAGTCCAGCAAGTGGGCGGGCGAACCAGCCACGATTGGCTGGCGCGGGGGGTTACTATTCTTGGCTCATAGGAGCAGACAGACGAGCGGTTCGAGACGAAATCATTCCCATCTTGGTATTTTTACATATCGAAGCCTTGGCCGCTATAGTAGTATTATAGGGCTGCCTAGCGCTTGTATTAACAGCCGTCGTAGCCGAACGAGTGTTTGTTCATTCTTATTAGCGTGAAGGAAATGGCTTGCCGCCCGAGATGGTGGGCCAGGCGTGACGGGTCTGCATATCAAAGACGGGATACGGACGTATTTCGAAAAGGAATAATTGGTTTGTTTCTGTTTTTGCATATTTGGCATGGTGAGCTTTGGCCATTTTTTTTTTTTTTTTTTTTTTTTTTTGGCACGAAGAGCAATGAGGTGCTGGCAGATTCGACGTAGCCCCGTGTAGGTAGACGTGCAGGCTGGCAGCCACCAATACAGGGCTGCTAGTAGTTGTCGGCGGCCTCACGCTGCTTCTGATGAGGCTGAAAGCTGCATCGCAGTCCTCGTATTTCTGGGTAGCTCGGGTGTGCAGGTACCTCATTGGGCGAAGCACAGCCGGTCGGCCGCAGATCGTGATCGTCATGACGGCTTGACAAGTGTAAGATTTATCTACCCTTTGGTAGCGATAGATCGGCATGAACCAAAACAGTCGTAGAAACATGAATTAGATCTATATTCAGAGAAGAAATCACGGTAGACAATACTGGACCCAATATGCTAGAAGCCGATTAAACGCCATGCTGATGCGGGCAAATGCCAGAAACAAAGTGCATCCAAAGAACCAACCGCCAAGAAAATAAATGCAGGCATCCACCTCAATAGAAACAGCTGCTACAAAAAATAATAACATGCCTCCACCTCGAGAGATGATCGAAAAAGTCTCAAAGATTCAGAAATACAGCCAATGTGAGCACCGCGGCACCCACCCAGTAGGTAGGGCTGGTCAGGCCCGGCGCGGCAGACACATTGCCACAACACGTGCGGTTGTAGGTGACATTATTGAGACGGGCCGCCGCTAGGAAGACGGAACCATTAAACGTGTCGGAGCCGTAGTTGTAGTAGTCGACATTGAGAAAATTCGGGGCGCGGCCCCAGTCGGTGCGACAGTTGTTGGCGGCCATGCCCAGGCTGCCGTCGCCGTCGGCTGCGTTGGTTTGGTTGAGCAGCGATACGGCTGGAACGAGAAGCTGAATGTCAAAGACGTTAAACTCTGCATTGAGGTTGTGGTTCATTAGATACATGCGGTCCTTGGCGTCTTCGGGCTTCAGATCGGGCGGGCGCTGAACGGTGCAAGGAAACGCGCGGTCGGTTGGGTCAAAGGGCGTCTCCCAGATCTGGGAGAACTCATCGAGCAGCCAGGGCACGGCGGTATGGTTGGCGTTGTAGTCGAGGAACATGATGACGCGCTTGCCGCGGATGATGAGCTCCTCGAGTGTGGGCCAGTCATTGAGCTTCATGGGCAGTAGCGGCGGAGTGTAGGCATACTTTTGGATGCCGCTCTTTTCGATATAGGGCTTGTAGAGCGAGGCGTCCGAGTAGTTGCCGTTGCCGAGGAGGATGGTGACGACGTCGTAAGGGTGGTCGTCGACCCATTCGCGGACGTCGGTCAGCCATTCGTCAATGGGGCCGGCGTCGAGGAGGTCGCACGAGGTATGACAAAAGTGCGGCTCGGTGCCATTGGTCGGCCACTGCATCTGGGCCTGGACCAGACGGATGCCGTCGTTGAGCTGGACCTTGACGGGCAGGGCCTGGTTGGAGCCCGAGTTTCCGGGGCGGACAAAGGGCGAGTTGTGGGCGGCGACAAAGCTAATGTTGCTGTACTTGCGCGTGCAAAACTCGACGTAGTTGTTGCAAGGCTGGGTATTTGTGGGCGTGGCAGACGTGGTGCTGTTGGTTGTGCTGGTGGGTGTCGTGACGGTGGTCGAGGTGGCCGTGGTGGTATCATTAATGCCCGTGAGGGTGATTTGCGTGCCGTAGCTGGTATAGGCATCGGACGGAGGTCCCGTTGACGCGGCGGGCTTGTCGGTGCGACTACCGGTGAAGAATGTGAGGCCGGAGGAGTCACTGTAGGAGACAACCTGAGCGAGGCCAGCCGGGGCAAGGACGGCGCCGACGGCGGCAAGTGACAGCCTCATGACGAGGGAGCAGGGCAGTGGTGAAGATGTTTGTGCTGGCGGTGATGGAATTATATAACTTCGCAACGACTAATGCGTTCGGACAGCAGCATAAAGAGAAGCTGCAATATGCAGGAAAAGGAAAGCGGCAGCAGGCCAAACGAGTGCCAATCCGGTGTGGTTGTTGAATGAAAATGTCTAGAGACGCGCAGGCACGCCGCAAGACGTCGGAGAGTTGGTTGGTTGGGTTCCTTGGTGGCCGCTAGGTAGTGACGTCGAACTAGGAAACCGGGTGCCAGGGTGAGCAGCTCCCTGTCACTGACAGTGTGGCACCACTGGCAAGTGTCAATGCCCGGCACCCCAGTGCAAGGGTTGAAACTATTTGCTTACAGATTAATCCGTATGCTAGCCAAGGTCTGGACTCTATTGTGTCTCGAGTGTTTCAATTGGCTAGCACGGTGAATGCTGGGCAAACCACAAATTATGCGAAAAAGTTTTTGCTAGATGGCAGCACGGCAGTTGACAGTCACTAATACCGATACCTAGGTAGTATGGGTAGGTAGGCACGTAGGTAATAGGTATGTAGCTAATAAAGCCGCGGAACATCGAGACCCAGAGACAGCGGGGGGCTATGGGAGATGTGGCTTGGCGTGGCTTGGCGTGGCTTGGTGCGCAGATACGAGTCTGCGATGCCTGGCTATTGAGCTGATTTTCACTTATTAACAAAATAAGAATCAAGGTAATATCGCTGGTATTGTTGGATTTGTGTGCAGCCAAGAGCACTATGAAATCTTTAATTATTTAGACATTGCAGTCGAATACGATCTTGCGAGGCGCTGACAAGCCTTAACCCACCCGTCCGTGCCGTCCTGCCGTCCTGCCGTCCTGCCCTGCCGTCCTAGCTGAGCCTCACAGCAGCGGAGCCGAGTTGGATGGCTCCGCAGAATAACGCAACCGCCCAGAAACGTAGGCCACTAAGCTGTTTTAACGCAGTCATGACCTCATAGACGTGTTATACTTTTTGGGAGAAAGAAAAGACAAGGGAAAAAAAAGGGGGTTTATTGTCTTTGGATCTGATTTTGTCGTGCACATCAATGGAGATCGCCGTGGAAAAAAAAGGACTGTTTAATCTAATAGTCTTAGACTCGGACAAGTCGGGCTAATGCATCGGGCGGCGGATCGTGACGAATCAGGGACGCGTAATCATAAATCTCCGCTGCAGGCGTTGGCGCCTGACCTAGGAGGACTGGATTGTTGCTGCAGATGTAGTGTATATTTGGCAGCACACACATGGTATTGACCGATGACTGCTCGTTATTTGATTCTGTAATACGAATACTGATACAAATACTAGGTAATAGTTGTCGAAGCAAGTCGGCCAACATCCCCTTTTCTAGCGTGCCATGCGGTCCTTGCTTGTCATGCAACAATGAACCTAATCAAGAGCTTCCTTGATTTCTGCTCTGACAAAAAATGTCAACAGTCTCCATTATGCTTAAGATCCATGGCAAGCAATGTCTCACTAGTGCAATTAATAGCGAAAATTTTATTACCGGCGTCGGGCTCCTTCCAATCCCTCTGTACCTGCCTAGCCTCCAACGCTAAGCTGTCTCTGCTTTCCCCCACTGAAACCTCCCACTGGCCTCTCTCCTCACAAGCTCTGCCTCTGCCTCGCTCTCGCTGGTGATGACGGCACAGCCACTTTTTCTCTTCCTCTCTCTTTCCCACGCCATACCATCATCTACACTCGCTTTTTTTGTCTTCTTTGCTGTGAAGCTGGCTTTGCAATTGGAGCAAGCCCACGATCCAATAGTACTCTCAAAGGCAAGGCAGCGACGGATATGCATCGACGCTGAGCGGCAAACGAGACCTTCCCCGACGACGCCTCCACGATAGGCCGCTGTGCACTATTCATATCAACAACAACAATCATGGCTCCCCCAAACGCGCGACGCAACACCACCGTGGTTGCTGCCTTGCTATACCTCATCACCATTCCCTTTCTCGTTCTCGTCCTCATCGGCAACACCCACATCAACGGCGTCCTCAACGACATTTACTTTTTCAAGCTCGACGTCTCCCACATCATTCCCATTGCCGTCGACAACTCACAGCTGCTCAACTCGGTCGCTCGCAGTCTGGGCCTGCACGATTTCTACTCTGTTGGTTTGTGGAACTTTTGCGAAGGCTATGTCGATGAGTATGTCCCAAATATAGAAACCGTTTGTGCAACAAGCCGAAGCTAACCTGCGGCCCAGAGGCGTCACCTTTTGCTCTCGGCCAAAGCAATTCTATTGGTTCAACCCCGTCGAGGTCCTCGTTAGCGAGCTGCTCGCCGGTGCCAGGATTGCTCTCCCCTCGCAGGTCATCACCATCCTCAAGCTCCTGCGCATCGGCTCCCAGGTCATGTACGGCTGTTTCATGGCCGGTACCGTCCTCAACGCCGTCCTGTTCCTCCTCACGCCCCTTGCCACGCGCCGCCGCCTGTTCTCGCTCTTCCTCTCCATCATCGGCCTGCTCTCCGTCATTGTACTCGTTGTCGCCTCCGTCATCGCCACCGTCATTAGCGTCGCCGCCAGGATCGCCCTGACCGCCCAGGACCAGCTCAACATCAGCGCAGAGATTGGCGTCAAGATGTTTGCATTCATGTGGATCGGCTCCGTGCTCACCGTCGTCGCATTTTTGCTGCACTCGGCCATGGGCTGCTTCTGTCGCCCCCAGCGCATCAAGCGATCGGCCGCGTCGAAGCGATCAGATGCTAGCATGGCCGAGACGAGCAGCAGCGCCAACCGCAAAGGCGAGCTTCCTCGCTTCTTGAGGCGAAACAAGGGTAGCGGCACATCGGTATAAATGTCAAATGACTGAGAATTAGACTTTGGTATAATATGGGAATGGGCTTTTTGCATTCACAACTTGGCGTTTGGACAGGTAACACGAATCACTACATTAGACACAGCGAATTTATTTCTGAACTTTAGCCTTGGCATTGGACACTTTGGAATATGAGCATTTGTACAGGCAAAATACAATAATTCATTATTTAAAACCTACATGAGCATAAGAAGATAAGTCTTTGGAGTTGGCCGTCACAATCCCCTTGTGCGGGGAAAAGCGAACATTGCACTCAGAGAACAGTTAGAGGCACGATTGAGACGAACACATGCAAAATTGTGGTTTTGTAGTTTTTATTGTTTTTATTGTTTTTATTTTGAAATCTTTTTATTTTTGTCGTTTTTTTGTCGTTTCAATGTTGCCAAAAAACTGGTTTCCAAAATTCCAAACTCCCAAGCGTGACCCAAGACCAAATTACTTCCAGTTGCTTTTGATCGAATGATTGATCTTTCCATCCCAAAGCTAGACAAATGCAAAATCTAAAAGCATAAAAGTTGTCAATCTAAAAAAAGCGAAATTCGGAAAAGTATGCAAGAGAATCAAGAGTCCCGCGTCCATGCAGAGAGGCAGGAAAGCGATGTTGTGCCGCTGTAAGAGAACCACTAAAAAAAGTGCCCGCCTCAAACGGAAAACGGCCATCATCTTGCCACCTTTGCTGATCCGTGTGTATTTACTTGTCGGGATCAGCAGACTACGTCGTGGTTGCATTAGCAGTCATGGTGGTGTGAGCAAGCTGCGACGTGTTAGCATTTTGGATACTGGCCAGATCGTCGGCGATGAGCGTTTTGTCTTACCTTGATATCCTCGGCGTCTGGGGCGCGGTCGCCCAACTTGCCGCAGCGCTTGGCGACCAAGCACTCGTTGACGGTCATGGCGATGCCTCTGAGCTCGCCGCCGCGAATCGCGTCCATGGCGAGCCAGTTGGGGAAGACGTCTCTGCGGAAGACGCCCCAAAACGTCTCGATGAGCTTCTTCCAGGCCGCCTCGTTGATGACTCGAATGGGGTTGCCAAAGATGACGGCGATGCCCTTTTGCGTGAGGAGAAAGTCGGACACGTACAGCTGTCGGAAGCGGCCGTCCTTGTACTCCAATAGCTTCTCGGTCTGGTCCTTGAGCATTTTCTCGGCATTGTCCATGTTGCTCCAGTGCTTGTGGTAGGGCAGCTCGTTGTTGGTGATGAAGCCTTCGGTGGCGCTGGGGTAGCCCTCGCCGGGCAGGTTGCGGGTGCGGTACTCCTCCATGCGGATGATGACGGCGGACTTGCCGTCGCCGATGAGGCGGTTGATGGGAATCTGGGCAATGTCCTCGCCGGGGACGAGCACGGCGCGGTGCTTGAGGCGCTTGAAGCTCTCGACGACGTGGGCGACGCCGGCGGCATCGAGCTGATTGAACTTCTTGTTATCGCGCATTTCACGCCCGTCCACGTCGATGATGATGAGCTCGCCGGGGTATTCATCGTTGAAGCGGTTAATCTGCTTAATCATGGAGTCGTGCGAGACACCGAGCGAGCCGTGCCACGCGCCGGCGACCTTGCTGCCGTGGCTCTCAAACACCTTCTTCTCCCTGCGCGTGAGCACCAGGCGCGAGTCAATCACACGCACACCGCCAATCTTGAGCTGATCGTACACGGAGTAGTCTTGGGTCCAGGTGTTGCCGCGGCCGCCGAAGCCAACTCCATCGCCGCCGTTGAGGGTGTACATGCCGGCGTGGTGGGAGCGCGGTAGCATGATTTCGCGGAGGGTGTGGTTGCCAATCTCCTCTAGCATGGTGTGCATCCAGTTGACAGGCGCGTCGTTGGAGAGGAAGCGGCCTTCGGAGCCCGTCAGGTAAAAGGTGGCACAGGCCACGCCGCGGTCCACGTTGAGGTCGACAACGCTACCACGCTTGCCCTCGTTGCCGTTGGCGACTGTCTCCAAGGCACCGCCGTACTCGACTGTGACCTGGTGCGGCTCGCCGGAAGAGATGCGGAGCGTGAACCAGGTCTTCTCCGAGGTGCCCACGAGCTCGTACTGCACCATGGCCTTGGCTTTCTTGTCGTGAGTGTAGGCGTAGGCGGCAAAGGGCTCGCCAGGCAGGATGATCTCGCGAAAGGTCTGCGACATCTTCCGATCCATGTCATTGAATTCTATTCCGATGCGCTTCCAGGTGTAGGGGGTGCCGTTGACGAGGCCAACCATTAATTTCTCCCTCGATTGTCTTTGTCTCATGAAATGCTTGTTAACGCGCTCATCATGGGCCTCCTCGGCCGCGGTGTTTTTCACGGATCCAGGCTCGTCGGGTCCGCCGATATGCTGGAGGTTGACCTTGAAGTTGTCATTGAAGTTGGCGATTTTGGAGGTGGCCTGGCCTGGGCTGACGCCGTTCGCTGGCTCGGCGAGCTCCGGGTCGGTATTTTCCAGCTGAACTCTGATCATTTGGGCGGCTACACATGTATTAGCAAGGCGGCTCCACGGCTTTTAGAACAGAAATCGGACAAGGCGACGTAAGGAACCATGCAAAGAAGAAAAGTGCTGTTCTACTTACTGGTTACGCCAAAGAGGCCGGCAACTCGATTTACCAACTCGCCCGACACCTCGGCATTGTCAGAAACATTCGCATTCGGAATCTGAGGAAGATCATGAAGCAGATCATCATCGGAACCAGTCGTTTCCGGCGAGAGCGTATTATTTGGGGCTGATGGCGAGTTGGAAGTGGTAGCAACATTGGTGCTACCAGTGACAGCCTCAGTGATGCTGGTTGCGTCGGTTGCGCTTATAGGAGCACAACTAACGAGAGAAAAGAGCCCGACCGAAGTGGCAGCCAGGCCCTTGACACCGATTGACTTGACCGAGACCATGGTAGCTGGGAGCTAGAGGTCGAAGAGCAAGTTACACTTGGTTGATGGGGTACGAGCAAGGTACTGATTGTTGAGAGGGTATGGTTGTGGAAAGGTATAATTGTAAGAAAGGTATAGCTGTAAGAAAGGTATAGTTGTAAGTGAGGAAAGGGAACTTGTAGCTTGAATCAAGACAAGAGACAACCAGTGATGTTTGCGGGTGTGGGAAAGAGATGAGAAGGGGGCATGGCCTCCTCTTATAGTTTTTTTCATAAGTCTGCTGCAGCAGTGACCTGCAGCAGTCTCAAGACGAACCTTTCGTGGTAGACAGCGTCTTGGAGCAAAAAGTTAATTTAGCACAGGCGATTCGATTACATTACCAAAATTGTCGTCGAGGGAGTATGTGTGGCGTCAAAATCTGTGTTAGTGACAGCGGAGCTAGTATCGGTGGCAGAGGCTTGCCTAACGCCTCGAAAGAGAAATTTACAACAGTGTATTTAATATGGGAGGGACTGAGAGCAACATATCAGGGTCTAGACGCCTCCTCAAGATGTATTTCGCAAAAGAAAATGCTAGATGGCAAGTATCGAGCCAAGAGGATATCGGGGTCTCGACGACTCAAAATGTAATTCACAAAAGAAACTGCTATTTGTCAGATATCAAGCCCACGGGATATCGGGAGCCACGACGCCTCAAAAAGAAAAGAGAACTCACTTAAGGAAAATAGATGGCAGGTATCAAGCCACGGGGACACTTGGGGTCCTGACGCCTCGGGAAAAAAAAAAGCCTCACAGAAAGGAAATGCTAGATAGCAGGTATCAAGGCAAGATAAAAATGGGGATCTCGACGCCTCGAAATAATAATTTACATAAGAAAATGCTATATAGCAGGTCTTAAAGCCAAAGAGGGTGTCGCAGTCCTGACGCCTCAACATACTTTTCAAAAAAAAAATGGAATGCCATACCGCAGACACAAGGCAAGGGTGCGCCAAGGTTCGCTGAAAAGGTTCGCAAGCAATACTGATGGCTGTACAAAAAAAATGTCAAAGCCACAATATCGTCGTACAAGGTTCATAGTTATCACTGATGGCTGTGCGGAGACGTCGAGGCTATTGTATGCCCAAAACTCACGAGCTTCCCCAAACGCTAGAATCTAAAAAAATCATCATCTTTATCATTATGCAACTAGAATGTACCCACCAAGTGTATTATGCATTCACAAAATGTATTGTGCTCAAGCCTGCCTAACCATGCGCCATGATGCCTGTCATGAGGTCTTCGTCTTCAATCTGGCTGTCGAAGCCAACACCAGCATCGGGACCTTCCTTCTCCGTCCTCTTCTGTTCAAGAAGCATGTACTTAACATACTCCTTCTTTTCGCTCAGTCGGTCATTTGCAGCCTTGTATTGCTTGTTGAGAGCCGTAATATGGGCGTGACTGGTAGCAATTTCGCGTGCAAAATCTTCTTCCGTCAACACAGCAGAAGCGCCACCAAATTTGAGAAAGCTCCCGGAGCTGCTATCAATGTCCAAGGTTCCATTGAGCATACCAGAAGACAGCATACCTCTAATCAGAGAACTGACATCCTCATCTGTTTCTAATGGCTCTCCTGTTTGAGCGCTGCAGGTCAAGCGCCTAGTTTGGCTGATGGAAACTTCGGTAAAGACTTTTCGCAGGTTTATTATCTGCCATTTTTGAAATGCAGACAAGACTTCAATAACCAGACTCGTAGTACCGTCTTCTTGCCACATTGCTTCGTTGTGCTCTGCCCTTTCCTTGAGCTCTTTCGCCTTGGAAGAGACAAACAAGCTCGCAAGTTCTCTGTATTCGGCGCTGAGTGAGCTGTAGGTCGCTATGGGCTGGGCTGCAGTGTATAAAGGAAGAGAGGGCATTTTGCCAGAGTTCAAAAGCCCGACTAATATCCATCTCTTATGACACTCCGCCATAACCTTGCTCACACCGCGGTCTCTAGCAGGATGTGTGATGACCTGTTCTAGGGCGGCAAAGGCCTTGTGCCAGTCTCGGCGACTAGAATACGCGAGATATCTGAAGTAATTGTATTCCAGCACGGAGCTGCTCTTCAAGCTTTCTGTGAGACCTGTGGCTGTGGAAACGTATGCTGCAGGACCGAGGCTGGGGTCGCATAGTGGCCGTGGATCTCGCGCCTCTCGTGCTTCACGATTGGACGACATGACAGGGTAGCAAGTGATTTCCTTGTCAAAAATTTCAAGCGCTGGCTCCAGAATATTTGACTCGACGGCCATCTTCGCGATGTATAGGTGTGTAGATGTGAACATGGTTCCGGTCGGGTCGAGGCGGAGGATTGCAGTTGTTAGCAGCTCGAGAGCGACAGCCGGCTACACTCAGGTCAGCATGTATTCTACGCAAATCTGATGACTGACTGACCGGGAAAATGGCCCCAGAAGCAACCACATCTAGTAAATAGCGGAACGTAGTGCCGACGTAGCGGATTTGAATGGGGTCGAAACGCGTCAGGAAATGCACAATTTTGTCGGCGAGCATATCTTTATTGTGTTTGCTTGACGCTGAGCCCATAACCATGTCAATGACATATAGATATCCGATGGAGTTTTTGGAGGGATCAATAACCTGACGCGGAACAGCAACGGTCAGCCGCAAGGGTATTCACAGCGTCGTCGTGACATAACCCACCTCGAATGCTCGTCGCGGGTCCTCGATCAGCTCCTGCTTAGACAGTCGATGAATACTGCTAGCGCCTGAAATGTAGCCTTTGATCTCAGTATCGCATCTCTTAACGCTTTCGATGGCGCTTAGGTCAGCCAGGCTGTTGAGAGTTGCAATAGCGTTGTCCATGCTGAGGATGGTCTGGTGGTGCGTGGAAAGGGTGAGCCTCCGCCGATCAATGGGGCCTCGCGGCGATGATTATCCCGAATCAAAGATCAAGAACCGAAGTTGTAGACTGACTCAATCGAGCATGTTCTGTTCTTCCAAGAGGCTGGACGATGAGGGATCACAATCGATGTGCTTGGTGGGGGTTGTGAGATCTGAAAGCGCTGGCCGATGATAAACCGGAGTGAGCTTCGGGCAACAGCTACCCCGCCAGTGCTGTCACAGCGCAACATCCCACAATTGCACCTGCAGTGGGTCTAAGGTAAGTTTCATTGGCACTGTACCTAATTATTTACTCAGTACCTAAGGTAATTAGGTGCGGCCTACCTATGGAGCTACATACATTCACTACAGCAGCTGACGAACATGTCGGTTTATTTCTACTAAAATATAAAAATATCGATTCAAAGCGCCGAACTTCCCCATTACTATACATTTAGTCTATTATGTCCCATCTCCTCTTATTAACCACGACTTGTTTGTGCCTCGCGGCCAGTAGTTATTGAACCGTCGTTTGCCCGCAAAATGCTTTCTCAACCAATTCCTCTCCCTGCAGCAACGAACGAATGTACCACCCTCGTGTTTTCCTAATAAGCACGCCTAGGTCCTCGAACGAATGGCACAATGCCGTTTTGCATCCATTGCGAACCCGAGGCTCTCCAGTGATTCGGTGCTGTTGCGAAGTTGTTTTGCGCGTACGAATGGTCATTCGGTGGCAGGATGCGCTGCTGCTCAAGACTGGTACCCGAGTGATGACTGGGGCCTTGCGATGGATCATTGTTGCCTAGATGTGGTGCTGCAGACCCCAGGCGCGCTGGCGAGGTTGACTGTGATGCAGCGTCTAGGCCTCGACGCGGCGAATTTTGCTCCTCGGCGCGTTTCTTCCACCACGCTGGAAACCCGTGGAAGAGGCCGAGAGATCGTTGCGTGGCCTCGTCTCGGGGCATCTCGTGCTTGAATTTGCATCCCTGCTGCGTAAAAGCGCAAACGCCCTCGTGTATCCACTTGTCGCAGTATATCTTGACCCTTCTGGTCGATTTGGGGCTCGTGGCAACGATGCAATCGATTTGATTCTATACGGCCTGCTGTCAGTATGCAATATTGAAGACGATGAAAAGATGCCTTATTACCTGGAGATTGTCTGGCAGAGGCGACGGCTGTTGCTACCAACATCAGTCGCTGATGGCCAGTCGTTTTTAGTGTCAGCTGCTTACCTTGGAAGCGGCGACTTGATGGCTGTCCTTTGCACTTTGGAGATGCAATCTTTCAATCGGTTGAAGTATCACCATGCCATCGTGCTCCTCTTCTCGTGACGGAACCCCCTTCATCGGAGGTAGCATATCTGCCGGTATCAACCTCGTAAACTGCCCATTGCCGCGATCGAGATAGTAGCTGTAAGCATTCGATACACTCCCTTCAAATGCATAATTCTGAAACCCGGCACCCGCTGGCAAAGACTCAAAGTTCGAACCAACGCTCGCTCGCGACGAGCTCGACGTGTGCTGGCTGGTAGTCGTCGAGCTGCTCATGCCATCCAGCTGCAGGCTCCGACGCGAGCTCAGCGATGTGTTGTCGGGCGAGCTCGTCGACGAGTGCTGCACATTCCAGATTCTATTCATGCTATAGCCGCCTTGCTGTTCCTTGGGCTGTGGTGTTCTCGAGAATGGTGCTTGTTCGAGCTGCGACGCAGACCGGGCGTCAGAAAACGCCATATCGAACGCGGTCTCGTGATGCGGATATGATAAAACAAATGCGTTTGATGCAATTTAAAATACAATGGGAGAGGCTGGATCTTCGAATGGCCTTTGAGCTGGTCTTTGCGCTGACGATTCCGCTCGCACTGGTCCGAGAGCTGGTAAGCGTGACACAAGCCTCAGCGCGCCCGCTGAGTGACGTTGTATAGGTAGTAAACGCAGAAAGTAGCAAGCGTTGTGTGTAGTTCTGCAGTAAAAGTCTTCCAAACAGAAAGAAGAAGCGTGACTGAATGTATACCACACCGAGGAGTCACCACACGACACGATATGCATGTTCACTGGGCACTTGACACGGCTTGCCACGCATGGCTGCCTGGGCTGGCTGGCTGGCTGCAGGCGGGCCACTGCGAGGCAAACGTCAGGCCGGGCAATGCCAAATCTGAAAGGCAAATCAGTAGTACTGCATTTTGATGTGGTCTAGGTATGGTCCAGCGACGTCAGAAATAATAGCCAACCCTATAAGCAAAATCTATCTCAGACGTTCATCGGCAGCCTCATCAGCTCTTCACGCCCCGTCCAGCTATCAGTAGAAAAATACTCGGTGCGCAAGCCATCATCTAGAAGCAATATTTCTGTCTGCAGACATTTGTCTCAGCTTCTCATGCAGGGCATATAGCCGTACTTGTTTCACTATTCGTTGCTCCTTGTTGCGGGCCACTTCGTCAATAGCCACGCGAACTTCCACCTCTGATCCCAGGCGAGATACGTAGCGCCAAAATTCGTTTGGCACAAGCGAGGTCTGCGGAGGCAGAGGCTCAGTACCAAGCACTTGCTTCTTCGTGCTGGTGACATAGACGGGCTGCCTGCGCTGCTGGTCGGCCTGACCACTGGCAGCGTTTGTGCCCTCTGGGACCCTGCCGCGTGGTTGGGCCCCGACGACACCGGGCGAGTTTTGGGCAAAAGTTACCTTGATTGGCCCCTTGCGTCGGGAGGGGATTGCTGTAACTTGGGTTCGGTCGACTTGGGCGGGGCGCTGGGCCGTGTTTGTTTGCTCTGCGAGCTCGTGGTGGCCGGCTTCTTGCTCTTCTGTTTGGGGATACTATTAACTTCTCTTCCCTTGGTCGGTTTCTTCTTGGTTGGGGTCGGTGAGGGTGTGGGTAGCTGTGCTGAATTTCTTCGGCGGTTTTTACCTTTTCCAAGCGCGTCATCTTCGGATTCGCTGGAGCTGTCGCCTCCGGAGAACTCGTCACTGTCGCTAGATGTTCCCCGGTCCGCAGCTTCCCTTTGGGCACCGTTCTTTACGTTGTAGTCAATTTTCTAGTTTCAGGTTAATCGAGCCCACTATAGCTATGTAGTGGCGACATACCATGCGGCGTCGGCCGCCCCTACCGAGAACTTCGCGGTTGGCTTCTGCGTTGCGGCGAGCCTCCTCTTCTCTCTGTGCGATGATTTTGTCCCATACACCTGAATCGATAGGCACTGGAGCCTCGGCCTCGGCTGTTGGAAGGGTGTCGAATCCGACCTTGTCGGAATCCCAAACGCGGGCGTAGGCGAACGGTGTCTCTCCGGAGGGGTTCTCCTCCACGCTGGCCTGCTCTATCTGCGACCTATCGAGCAAATCATCCACCATCGCCGGTGTATACTGAATTTTGGTCTTTTGGTAATTGTCGTTAAACAGCGCAGAGGCACCGTGCTTTAGAATTGATTCCAAATCCGCACCCTCTAGCTCATCGTCATCCATGCTTTCAATAAGAGCATGATCCAGAGCCATTTTGCCTCTGCCAACTTGTACAATTCTCTCTTCGACGGTGTCTTTGGTCATGAATTGAAAACACAGCACCTTGTTTTTTTGTCCAATTCGATGTGCTCGAGAGAGAGCCTGCAAATCTTGGTGCGGGTTGAAGTCGGGATCCATGATGATGACAGTATCGGCAGTTGCCAAATTGATGCCAACGCCACCAGCGCGGGTGGAAAGCAGAAACGCAAACAGGGGCGAATCCGGTTGGTTGAAAGCGTCGATTCGCTTTTGCTTTTCAAGACTTGACATGCCACCATCAAGCCTTTTATAGTCAAGGCCAATGCCAATCAGGAAATCCTCTATGATGTCAAGCTGCTGTAGGAATTGGCTGAAAATGAGTACTCGGTGGCCACGCTCTTTGAGTTTTGGTAACATTAATTCGAGAAGAAGTAGCTTTGCAGAGGCCTCGATGAGATTGCGAAACATAACAACTGGGTCATGGTGTTTCTCCTCGATATTTTCAGAGTACATGAAAGGGTGGCAAAGACACTTGCGCAGCTGCATAAGGATATTATTGAGGCTCCCTCGATCATAATTCTTCTTCTTGAGCTTGCTTTCCGCAAATATGGCTTTGATGAGCTCCGGATTCTTGGACATGATGCTCTTTGCCAGTTTTTCTTGAACGACCGTCATGGTAACTGGCACGATGATCTGGGCCATCGGCGGAAGAAACTTGAGCACACCGGCCTTGGTACGTCGAAGGAAATATGGTCTGATTTTGTCGTGCAGTTGGGGCAGCGTCTCCTTGTCCAGAACCTCGAACTCGGCGTCGAGCTTTGCAGCGTCCTGTTTGGTGTCGATAAACTGTATCAGATTGAATAGTTCGCGTTTATTGTTTTGTAGGGGTGTGCCGGTTAACAGAAGGCGGAAAGGAATCTTCATTCCACGCAAAGCTTGATAGAGAAGATTCTGGTCATTCTTGAGGCGCTGACCCTCGTCCACGATCAGACCAGCCCATCTGACCGACTTGAACAACGCTGCAGTTCTAGGATCTTGGGCTGAATCATAAGACATGATGACAGCGTGGGCTCGCATAGCGCCTCCATGCTCAGGGAAGAGCTCATAACGGTACGTCAGCTGTTGGGATTCCTTGCCTCCGTGGTAGGCAACGACCCTCAGATCTGGTACCCATTGCCTGAACTCGCGCCGCCAGTTGGGACACGTAGCGTTGGGGACGACAATGAGAAAGGGCCAGCACTATAACAGTTAGCGTGCACCTCCTTGAGCGACGAGAAGAGCCTACCTTGGGACTATCCTGCACCAGACTTGTCACCAAGCTTACAACCTGCACGGTCTTTCCCAGGCCCATTTCGTCGGCTAGGACAACACTGCGACCGTGGTGATAGTTTTCAAGAAGCCAATTCAGTCCCTCCAATTGATAGCCCATCAATTTGCCGCGGCGGATTCCTTTCGGCTGGGCGTCCAGCGGCGTAAATTCTTGATTCTTGAACTCTTCGACGCGTCTTCGAATTGTTGTTTGCGAACCTGCCTCAAAATACTTGCCATTCACATACTCATTATAAGCGTCAACGAATGCAGTGTAGAGAGCGCTGTTGTCTGGCATCGGAGGCGTATCCCAGACGACATCTTCGTAGCCAAGGCCCTGAAACTTGACAAATATGCGACGGACATATATGATGTTGGCGAGCATGTCCTCTTTGGAGTGGTGATTGGGCGCCGAAGGGTCCATCTTGGCAACAAGAATGATGTCTGGTGCCAGGAACTCCTCCGGAATCGCGTCTTCTTTTGTCATTTTCAGCATACTCTGTTCTAGATCACGTTTTCCAAATGCTTTGCGAGAGTGAGACGCAGCAACGCCGTAAACCCAAGCGCCGGGAAGCCAAGTGCAATGGGCATATGATTTGGTCTCCCATTTGATGAGGTATTCTTTCTCATCATCGGGGACCACATGCCAGGAAGGAGGCTGCTGTCCCTTGACAGGCAAATGTTTGTCAGTTGGACGCCACGCAACGAGACGATGGATCTTGTGCGTGACGCTGAGACACTCTGAGCAGCGCCACTTCTTAGAATAGCCGTCAATGTCAGACTGGATGCCATCTGGTACTGGGAGGTGATCCTGATGCCAGCCTCTGTGGCATGATTGACAGCGGAAAAGTACATTGTCACTGTTGTTGATCAGTGAAGGCGCCACGGGCGTCACAGGGTCAACGCCGTCGTTCTCCTCGCGCAGCTTCTCTTCTTGACGTGCCGTGCGTTTTGTGGTGAATGCTGAGCAAGAAACACCTGGGCCTTTACATTGCTGACACATATCGTATCTCGGTGCGATATCATCTCTGGAAGTGTAGGCTCCGATACAGAATTTGCATTGCAAAACAAACGAATCTTTGTCAACCTTGGTAGCCAGGTGCTCTCGAGAGCTGCGAAGGCCAATGCAACCTTTGTGAAAAGTGAGACTGCATCCCTGGCAGTAAATAAGCTGCCCTCGTTGCTGGGAGCCGGCGCAAACATGGCATTTCTGCATATGGGCGACAGCAAACGGAGATTCCGGCTTAATGGGTTGAAAAATCTCCTTGACCGAAACAACTTTGGGCGCGCCACGCTCTCTGACCACGGCCATTGATTCAAAGTCTTCGTCCGAGTCATATTCGTCATTCATGCGCTGTAAATTCTTTGTCGCTCTCGATGATCTCCTAGGCGCTTCAAATTCGATGTCAGAGCCTCCGCCTGAGGGTCTTTGCCGGCCGGGAGTCAGCCTCCTTGCACTCCCTCGTGTAGGACGTCTGCCCCTCTTTGGTGGTGCTATATCAGATATGACAGGCCTGAAATCGTCATCGCCTACTTCATCTCGACCTTCAGGGACTTCGCGACTAGGATCAGGGCCATAATATGATGGAATGCTGGCACGAGGACGCAAGGACCTAGCTGAGCGAGACGGTCGCCCGATTTCTTCGTCAGAATGTTCGAGGCTTTGACGTCGCGTGATGACAATCTTTCGTTTTCGTGAGGCTCGCCGTGAGGAACGTCGAGGAAATTGTTTCACTGATTCGTCGCTATCGGCGCCATCAATTTCCATGCCATCAGACTGATCTTCCGCTATTTCTGATCCAGAGTCAGAGCCCCAGTCATGCTCTCCATATTTGCGTTTTCTTGAGTTTTCACCCATGTTGGCGCCGTTCAAGAAATCGTCTAGTGCGGATTGACCGTTGTTCAAGTCGAGAAGATGGTCATAGGATATCTTGAATTCGTTAGATAATGTTGATGAGGACAACCCATGCGCAAAATGAAGATGGCTTTGAGAAGTGAAGATGTTATTGAATAGAGTTAGGGAGAGTAGTGTGGAGGAGTCAAGTTAGTGAGAGGCGAGGATGGGCAGCAGCGCGATGGGGAACTTATGCGTGGTGGCCAAGAGACCGAGAGGTGAGAAGTTGTATAAACAAAAGTGATGAGAATGCGAAAGTAACGTGATAGCGGTGTGCTGCCGAGGTGCATTCATGAAATTGGTGATTGAAATAAACTCACAGTTTCAACGCGTCCATCAGTGAACTCGACGTGATAAGAGCCGAAGGACTGTTCTTCGCCGCGAATATGGTCCACTACTTCCGAAACTACGGTAGAGTAGTCGTCGAGTAGAGATTGAGCCAGAAGCGGTAGTTCTACCTTGATTTGAGTTGGTTGCAGCGTCAAGCCGGCATTGCTACGAGCGCTGTCTTGTGAGCCATGCCGCTCAACGGCAGGCTCCAATTCTTCGTCAGACTCGCACTGGATATCCCCTCGCGGCGCATGTCCTTCAGTGGTCGAATTTTCAAGAAATTCATTTTCCGCGCTTGCGCCGAGGTCATCGTCGGGTACCTTTTGGGCGGCATTTTCCGAGACAGCGTCTTCCTCGGTGTGAATCGCATCGACTGCAACAAGCTCGGTTTCAACATTGTTGTTGTCCGCCTCGGTTTGGATCATGTCCTCGGCAATAGACTCCTTTTCAACGTTGTAGGCAACGAGAGAATCCTGCCTCTCTTCATGAACTACGCCGCCCACGCTAATATCGTCCAAGACCGCGCCATCGGCGTCAGTCTGGTCTGGCCCATTACGCGTCACCCAGTCAAACGCATCCGGTATGCCGCTGAGACCTTCCAGGTCGTCCATATTGTTCATTGCTGCATATTATGAGTAGACAGTCTCATAACCAGAATTGTCGTGTCAAGGGCATCTGCCAGCAAAAAGATGAAGCAAATGAGTTCCAATGGTGAATAGATCTGAGCTCACGTTGAGGTGCTTCACGTCGCGCTCCACTAAAAGCTACTGAAACTTATTCTCATCGCCCATCGCCCTTTCACTAAATAAAAGCTAAAAACTGTTCTTTATTATGCTGGCGGCGCGCTGTTGGAAAGTTGGGGCTCCACCCGGCTACTTACCTATGCTGCCTAAACAGGCAACTTTTACCTCACCGCCTTGCGATGCCCCTGTTACGTGTGCGGCAGAAAAGAAAATCCAGATACAGGCTCTCAAGGCCCTCCTTTCGCAGTAAGTTACGAGCGTAGGAACTATATACATGATAGTCGGAAACAAGCAAAGATTGGGCGCGTTATGCAATGAATCGCCTTCTATGTAGCGGCCATGCTGCGTCCATTCAATTGACCATGCGACGCGCACTTCATCTTGCAGTGTCTGCGCCCTCCATAACTACTCGACATGCCAGTCTGTCGGCCATCCACCGAGGTTTGCGCCAATCCCAAAAGGCACTATACGATGTCCGACCACGGAAGGAGTCATCACTCGAGCAAAGCATGAAGTTGAATAGGCGAGATGGTAACAGTCGAGATGAAAGGACGGCGCGCGCAATGGCTGGTGCTGCCTCCTCTCGCCAACAGTCCAAGCTGCGCAAGAAGCTGACGCGCAAGGAACGCGAGCGGCAGAAGGAGCTTGAAGAGGGTCCTGGGAAACAGACGCGCCGAAAGCGCTTTCTCAATCCTGACGAGGACTTTGGCAAAAGAAGCCTCGTCTACCAGCTCAAGTACGGCGAACTCAAGAACGAAGTGCCTATCGACAGCCTCCGGCCGCACGTCCGCCCAAGGCCAATACCACGAGACGATGACTTTCGCGCGGAGCTACTAAACGATACAAGAGGCGCAAAGAAATTGCGCATTGCGCAGGCATCTGCATCACCGGAAGACGACCCTCGAAAAAAATACCAAGATGACATCCAAATACGAGGACAAGGATCGAATAGACGATCGCTTAGTCAAGATCCGTCTGAATCATCGACGGGAAAATTCAACATCATGGACATACTTGCATCCAAGCCCAGACAGTATAGCCAACACGGCGTTAGAGATTCAGCCGAACACTCTGGCGGCACTCGCAGGTGGAATGAGCAGCAATCAGACGGAGATTCACGCGAAAGACGATATGGAAGCCATAGAGACTCAGCCGAACATTCTGGCGTCACTCGCAGGTGGAATGAGCAGCAATCGGGCAAAGATTTACGCACAAGACAACGTGGCAACCGAAGAGATTCAAGGAGACACTCCGGCGGCGCTCCCAAGGGGCATAAACAGCAACCAGGCAGAGACTTGCTTGAGGGACGATTCACCAGCCATAGAGATTCAGCCAAACGCTCCGGAGCCGCTCGCAGGATGATGCCCATGACCATCAAATACACGACGGCCGCCTCACAGTTTCTCTACGGACGATCGGTGGTCCAGGCTGCGTTGGAGGGGGGCCGCCGAAAAGTATACAACCTCTACATCTGCGGCGGCGCAGAGACCCATGCGGATCGCCTCTGCGAAATGCAAATTGCACGACTGGCGACGCGTAAGGGCGCCAAGGTCACATTGGTGCCTCCTAAGGAGCAGCGGCTCATGGACAAGATGAGTGCGGGGCGGCCGCACAATGGCTTTGTGCTAGAGGCGTCGCCCATCCAGCAGATGCCCGTCATGGCGCTGGGCCAGGTGGAAGACTCCGAGGGCGGTCAGCGCATTCGCGTCACACCCGGCCACCAGACCCGCGAGGACGAGGACATCAACAGCGCCACACCTTTCTTTGCTCGCTCGAGCAGCCGCACCCCACAGCCGCTGGTGCTCCTGCTTCACGAGATCCTCGACCCGGGCAACCTCGGCGCGCTGATTCGCACGGCCAGCTACCTGGGTGTCGACGCCGTCGGCATCACCCATCGCAGCTCGGCGACCCTGACTCCCGTGGCGTTGAAGTCGGCCGCCGGCGGCGCCGAGGAAGTCACTCTCTTCACCGTCTCCGAGCCCGCCGAGTTCCTGGAGCAGTCCAGGAGCGCGGGGTGGGTCGCGTATGCCGCCGTCCAGCCGCCCGGCGAAAAGCTCGCGCGCATGCACGGCGACAAGTTCCTGTCGACCGACGACATTGAGCGCCGCAGCCCGCTACTTGATAAACCCTGCATCCTCGTGCTCGGTAACGAGGGTCACGGCTTGCCGCGCCAAGTCAAGGTCGCGGCTGACTACGAGCTATCGGTCCCACGCGTCGTGTTCGAGGGCTGCGTCGACAGTCTGAACGTGAGCGTCGCCGGCGCGCTACTGACGCACGCATTTGTCAAGGGCGCCATGACAAAGGAGACGAAGACGGAGACAGAGACAGAGACGGAGACGGAGACTGAAAAGGCAGAGGAGACGGAGAGAGCGATAGATGACGCCGCCACGGCCGCAGCCCCAAAAGAGGGCAAAGAGGAGGATCAAGAGAGGCTTTTTTAAGCACCATGTATACTACAAAAATGTACAATTATGTATTTATAAGTCTTGAAATTGCCCATTTTCGATACTCTGAGAAAGAATCTCGGCTATCAAAATCCAGAGGTAGCGTTGCAGATGGAAGAGCTAAATTAACTAACTACGTACCTTAAACTTACACCGCGATCTCCACTGCAGATGTAGCCCGTCTAAAAACGGCACCATTCCAAAGCAAGCGCCAGTGAAAGCCGCCATTTTTAGACTCCAAACCCTAGACAACTGTTTTTTTTTTTTTACTGTGAAGAATTATTCGTTTATTCGAAACATTCATCCAGGGCATGCGCGCACGTTGTTTACCAAGGCCATTGAATACCATGGACTTCTATATTGGACATCCATGGTGGGGAGACGCTAAATCACCCCAGCCACCAGCATTTGTTGACTTTATGCGCAAGAGCTGGATGAAACTCCCTGGCGCAGCTTTCTTTATATCATGCCAGTTTTCTTCTTCTTCTTCTTCTTCTTTAAGAGTGATGGTTCATTTCCAACGACTCGTTCTCAAGATAGCTTTGTAAAGCACGTTCAGTATTGGTTATTGGGATAGCAATCTTGTTCAAGAGTACGACGCTCGCGGCGGCGCAAACGATAACTTATTATCTTGCACACGCATCGAGCTTCCCTGAATCGCAATCGACATAAGCTGAGAAGTGGCAGACTGTGGCCGGCTGCAATGCTTCTCTTACCCCCATACTTGCTTTCGCTCTTGGTCCAAGCATCGCCAGCCGCCGCGGCCGCGGAGCGCTCCCCCACCGCCCTGCGCAAACTCGCGCCCGACGCCAACGAAAAGCTGTTTCCCGAGCACCTCGCCTTTGCGGCTCTGACCTTTGACGACGCCTCCCTCGCTGCGCGCCAGTTCCTCGATGCCCAGGACGCCCAAAGTCTGTTCTCCGATACTCGTCCGCTCCGACCGTACCGTCCCGCGTTCGCCAGCCACCTCGCCGACACCAGCAGTAGTAGCCATCATGCCCTGCGCCGTGGCGCCGCCGAGGCTCTGGCTCTGCTGCAGCGCCGCGCCGGCGCCGGCTCCTGCCCGAGTGGCATGAGCGGGTGCTCCGCCATTGGGCAGCCCAACAAGTGCTGCCAGGACGGCACCGTGTGCACGCGCATCGACGACGCCACAGTTGGCGGGATCGCGTGCTGCCCCGTGGGTTCCTCGTGCGGCGGCCGCGTCGGCGCCTGCCCGTCCGACGCCGCGAGCTGTCCGGCGGATCTGGGCGGCGGGTGCTGCATCCCCGGGTACGTGTGCCAGGGGCTGGGTTGCGTGCCGAGCGCCTCCGCCACGAGCAGCACGCCGACGCCGACACCCAAGCCCACGCCCACGCCCACGCCCACGACGACGACGATAACCAGCACCCATACGACGTGGGTAGACGGCGCGCCGTCTACCGTCATTGTCACACAAACCGTCACTTTGACGTCCTCGCACCCGCCCACGACCAGCACCACGACCGTCACGGAGACCGAAACTGGAGGCACCGTCACAGGCGGCGCGCCGTGGCGGCCAACAGGCACAATGTCGGAGTCGGGCACTTCCACGACGACAGCAGAGGACACGTCAACGCAGGACGGGTGCCCGACGGGCTTTTACGGGTGCCTGGCCACGCACGGCGGTGGATGCTGCCAGACGGACCGTGACTGCCGGACTCGCTCGTGCCCGCCGCAGGCCTCGACGACGGTCTTCTCCGACGGCAAGACGGTCGTGGTGCCCGCATCGGATGTGCCGTCGACGGCCACGTCGACGTGCGCCGCGGGCTGGTTCCTGTGTGGCAGCGACGCAGGGGCTCGTCCGGGGTGCTGTCCGAGCGGCTACGATTGTGGTCAGGCGAGCTGTTTCAGCGTGTCGACCTCGCACACAGGGTCGGTGCAAAAGGAGCAGCCAAAGAAAGATGTGGCTGTAGTAAGCTCTGCCAGCGTGCTCATGACATTATGTGTTGCTGTGGCAGTCGCTGCTTGTAATGTTATGGTGCAATGACTTGAGGAAGCGCGCTGTGATTTGATGGGAAGCTTTTAATGATATACCAAGACGACACGTAAAGTACATAGACTTGAACTCAAGGCGCAATATAGACGGGCACTGTCCCATCCGATGATGCAGAGATGCAATGGCAGTCACAAGTCACAAAGGCCTGGACGTTGAAAGCATAACAAAAATGAAACGCAATTGTATTTTAGCCCAGTACTTGACTAAGAATAGTCTATTGCCCATTACCCATTAACCACTTTCCATCAATCACCCTTGCCACCAGTGTTCCAAAACTCCCACGCCATTGCCCTGATTGCAATGCATCGTTTGCAGTTACAAGAAGAGAAGACCAGCAACGACAGTCGCGAGGAACAAACCTTGAGCACCCATGCGGTGGGCAACACTCTGAACAGGATTGTAGTAGGTAGGGGCAGCAGTCGTGATCATCTTGGAAGTCTTGAATGCGCCAGTAATGCTGCTCTGGGGGCTGTTCGAAGTGTGCACGCCGGTGTACTGATAAGGATAGCTCGAGGTGGTCCAGTCGGGACTCTCAGACTGATGGACAGTGACGTGGCTTGGGCTGGGAGTCTGCTCCACGGGGGCATTGGAGGTGTGCTGCGTTGGGACATTGGAGGTGTGCTCCATTTGGGGACTGGCATAAGGGCCAGAGGGAGTGTCGTACTTGTCAATGCCCATGGAAGAGGTTGCTTCCGGGGCCACCTGCGCAGGACTCGTGTGCATTGGAGACATATAAGCAACACCTGAAGGCGTGCAGTCGGCAGGGTCGGTGTAGGACTGGAGAGCAGCGACGGTGAGGCCCGAGGCGAGAAAGCTGACGAGAATCGAGTTGGTCTGCATGACGTAGACTTGATAGTTGGAGAATGGAAATGGTCAGAGTAGTAAAATGGACAGATAAAGCTGTGAAGAAGCTAAGACGATGGCCCAAAAAATGCGGATAATGAAGCACGAGAATGGATGATGTAGAAAGAAAGAAAGGGAAAAGGAATCCAGACGGGGGCGGACTGTTTAAAAACCCATTGCCAGCTGCCGACTTCCTTCTTCCCGAGCCACGAGGACTTGCCTGTTGCTGTAAGCGAAGGCGGCAAGAAGTGTCTTCCTCCGTTTGTCCCCACGGCAATCGACGCGGTCTGTTGCCGAGCGAGCAAACGGAGAAATCACAACGCTGCCAGCATCAATCTTCCTTCTCTTTTGATCAGCCTCCAGCATGTTCTCTCTTTGTGCAGACATAACTTAGTCATCATTGATTCATACTAATCGTTTCCCAGAGCTCGTAGCAGGAAATATAAAGGGCAGTGCTCGCCATGGTCCGTCTATAAACGCGTGCTGTGAATTCCACCCCAAAGAATGCATGTAGGGGGACATCTCGAGGTTCGTCGCCGAATGATAGTTTGCACAACCAGGATTCGCAGAAAGAAACAATTACACTAGTATTGAAACGGACAGTAATCCTCCCACCGTCAACCATCGCTCGCCTTTTTCTTGTTAAAATCGCTTGCAGCTATTCCGATCATCCAACTTCCTCAAAACACCGATAGCATCCGCAAGCAGAATACTGCGGCCACCTAAGTGCTCACGCTCCAGAGCCTCGCGCGCGAGTCCCACCACGGCTCGCGCGTTGCGTCGACCCCCGAGACGCTGAACTTGCGCCGGCTGCAATTTCGCGGCGTTTTGCAGCCACTGGAGAGCCGCCGGCCGAGAGCTTACGTCATTCCCTGTGTCGCTTCCATCTTTGCCAACATGACCGAAAGCCCAGCAGATGAGAGCACATACGTAGATGCCCCAAAAATCAGAAATATCATAGCAAGGGGAAGAAGCCACTGCCGCGATTCGACTTCCATCAGATCCAAGACTTAGGAACGCGACCAAAGCTCGCGCGGCAAATGTGGCGGCCGCTGCCGAACTTCCCGAGTCACGCCAACGGGACAGCTGGCTTTGTTGCTGTGCATATGCCGACAGGCGAAGAACCTTTTTGTTGAATACCCAGCTGTCGCCCGTTATAGAAAGGACGACGTGCAGGGGTGTGAAATGAAGAGCCAGGTAGGCGTTGGCGACGGCCGAGTGTGCAAACAAGTTCAAAACATTGATCTGGCTCATGTCGACTCCAGAGAGGTCTTGAATCAGGTCAAGACGAGTAGGATTTTGTCGCGAGGGAAACTGGAGAGAGTATGCAGCAAGAAGAACCGAGGCATCGAATGGCGAGGACTCCTGTATATCCAGCGGTTTGTACCCTTGTGAAATTGCCAGTGCGACGCTTAGTCGCGTACACTGGGGGTTCAACTTGAACCATGACTCCATAGCTGTGGCTTCCCAGAGCTTGGTGGTGTTGGCGCTGAGAGGAATAGCCAGAGTACTTGGCGAGAAATAGTCCAGTCCAGGAACAGATACTGGGGCACGCTCAAAGTAGCGCATGCAGTGAACATCGAGCAAAAAGCAGGAAGCAAGGAGGCGTCGATGCGTTTCGTCTTCGACCCATGCCTCCCATGTATCCGGTCGGCCAAAAACTGTAGTTGCTTGGGGCAATGTGACCTTGACATAAACCTGCTTGACGTGTTAGTCTAATCAAATGTATAGTTATGTTACTGCAGCGTACTTCTTGATAGAGGCGCTTGAATAACTCGGATGTTTGAAATGCGTCTTTATCGCGTCCTCGAAAGCGCACGTAATACTCCGAGAGTAGCACAGCTTGCATTGTTTCAATCGTCCATGGCTCAATACTAGAAGCCTGCTACATGTTAGAACGTCAATTTGATACGAAGATTTCAAAAAACTTGCCGCCTCTAGCCTGCAGGTTGCGTTGAAGTGAAGTTCGCCTCCGTTCATTCTGTGGTCCTCGTGTCCAAGGAACTGTGTCGCAACTGCCGCCATTGCGCACTGCAGAATATCCGCAGTATCAGACGCGCTCTCGAGGGCCTTCTCAAAGGTATATCGATGAATGATCGGATACATTGGATGGACCTTATTCCAATACACTTCGAGATAGACTGGCACAGCATCAAGAACACCTTGGCCCAGTGCTAGACTCGGAATGCCCTGCATTACTGAACGATCCATCAAAGCTATGTCAGAGGAAAGCACAGAGTGCTGCGGTAGCATCGTCCTGTCCTGGAAAACTGCGGCTGGTGCGGCCATGAGAACATCCGTAGATTTACCTACATCGATTGGCATGGTCAGGGTTCGCATAGCCGTGTTTGCGAGAAGAGGCTCGGCTATCAGAACAGACTCCTCCTCATAGCCAGAAAGAAGGAACCCAACTCCTGTACTTTGCTTGCGCATATAAAAACCGGTGGAAGACTCAGCAAGGCCGAAATCATAGCTGGAGGTGAGCGATCTTCCAGCGCTATAATACACATCTGGTGAGGCAGTGAGCTTTGCCGCGGCAAATTTCAAATCAGTGTTAGAGGATCCTGCGCTTCTGAATCGGTCAATTGAACTGTCTGACGGCGTAGAGTAGAGGCTTCCCGTTGCAGAGGATGCAATATCAGTGCTGTTAGACTGGTCGCCATCGGACATGTAGAAATCGTGGCCTGCTTCTGGTGTTTTGTGGCCAGCACTCTCTGGAGAATTGAGACTATGGTGAGCCTCACTTGGGGGAGAAGCCTCTTGCGATGGTGGGGTCGAGTCGGCGGAATATCGACTTTGCGGGCTTTGTGCATAGTATTGCTGAGGGCTGGCAGATATTCTGGGCGGCGGCAGTGAATGACCAAAGGAACGACTGGCAGAGCTCCAGTTATTATGTCCAGATGTCTCGTGTCTTGGTGTGCTCGATATCGGACTGTGGGCCGAGTTTGGCGCACCATATGAGCCCATTTGCATCGCTCTGGATGGCGAAGAGCTGCCAAAGCTCTGACCTCGTCGTCGAGGAGAAGATTCGTGAAGGCGGGGATCATCCGATGCCAGTTGCTCGTCCTGCTCATGCCTCTGTTGATGCCTTTCGAGTAAGTCTTTACGGTGAAAGGCCTTGTTACAGCCCGGGACACTGCATGTCAAATCCGGCGGCTTGTGGCTGAGCTGATGTCGTCTCAGATGCTCGGCGCGGGAGAATGTCTTTGGCGGACGGCATATTTCGCATGTGTGCACCGGGACACCTTTCTTGGCTCGACTAACTCTTCCAGTTATCGGGGTCAATTTGACACCAGGCTCGCCCATGGTACCGGCTGGCATCATCGGGCGCATGTCAGGGCCTGCACCATACGATTGGCCGTGCGAATACGAAAAGCCCACAGGTTCGTTGCCTCCGCTTTCCCGGCGGCCGCCAGGCGGAGGAAGATGATGCTGAAGATGGCGAGTTGTAGAGGACTCGGAAGTGTGCGAATATGCGCTGTGTGGAGAAGCACCTCGAGAGTACTCTGATGGCGAAGGATGGTTGTGCATGGACAGGTCAGATGAAGCGGGATAACTCGAATTGGAGAGAGAGGAGGAATGCGGAACGGGTCTAGACGACGAACTGCAAGGCTGAGCGTCGTCATCGACATTGTTCATGATATTCCTGAGGCTGGCCATGGTGAGCGAGTCGACGGAGCGCAATGTCGCCAGCCCAGGATGGCAATAGCAAAATCCCGCCGAAGACAGCTACCAGCAGCGACCTATTTAGATTGACCAAATGGCACACAACCGGGTAAAATGCTGTGTCTGGATGAATTTGATTGATGCGATTAGGAGTAAGGGACCTTTGTACAAGAAAAGAAAAAAATGTTTTGCGTTGGTTGGTCCTGTTTGTGCAGACAACCAAGGCGGCTCAGAGGTTGGCTCGTGCCAAAAACAGCGTTGGTTGCACAGAAGCTGGGTCAGCCGCCGCGTGTTAGTGGCAGAGACGGTGACAGAGCAGAATCGGTGTCGAATACAAAGGCCATCGATGGAGAGAGGCACAGGGGTGGTTAAAGCAGAGAATTGCGACCGTTTAAAGATTGCAAGGAACAGGATGTAGATGTTATTCCAAGGCTGAGGACGTAGGGAGGAGAAGAATGGTGTTAGCTAGAATCCCCAGCGAAGGCGTATGGAACCGCCGTGGCCCATGTTCATTTGGACCACAATGGAGGGAGCTGAGGCACGACTCCATGTACAGGATACATTGGCGGCGCCAGCAAACCCCAGAAACCCTGAAAGTGGCCGCGGCTTGACGTATGAAGAGTGTCAGCGCGGGCAGCCACACTGGGCGCGAGCGGGCAGCGGGGTGCGCGCCGTAGGTAAGAGCTGGCTGGCTCTCAAGCCAGCCAACGAGCTTTGGCTGTGTACCAGTGACAAGCTAAAGAAAACGAACAAGGATGGCTTTGGCAAAGCTGAGTGGGGGAGAAGCAGGTTGGACACGAAACACCCCAAAAGGCCAGGTGAGAGGTGAGAGGGTGAGAGCTGGGTGTGGTGTGACGGGAGTGGACTTAGCACTACAAAGCTGGAAGCCTCGTCTGAAAGAGAGCCCACCACGTGTTGACCAGCCCTACCAACAAGGTCGGCGAGACGAACGATGGCGAGTACGGAACAAGGGGGCATGGAGCATGGCGCTGTCGACGACGAAAACGAGTTGGAGAGTCGAAGACGGTTTCGGTCGAGGACATTTGGACGGCGATGGTACTGAGGGGTGTGATGGCTCCCATGTCGAGAGGATCAGTAACTACTTAGAATTAACCCGACCAGATTTATTAGCCCGAAAGAGGAACCTTGACGCGCGCTGGTCGCACACCCACGCCGGGCTTGGTTGGTGGGCACAGCCTGCAATCGCACTGCGAGCTTGTCGAGGTGGTGACGGGCAGGTTGCTGAGGTTGGTTCGGCCCAGACTGCGACACGGGCCGGACTGTGTCCGGGCAAGCTAGTTAATCAATTTGCAGGCAGCAGAAGGACTCGTCGCGGCAATAGCCTGAAAGAGATGGTATCAGCGACTGATTGTTGATCGCTGGCCAGTGACAAGGCGGTAGTTACTGGCGTCAAAAGTCTAGCTGATGGGGGCAATGGACGTGGGTGGGATGTGCTGGCGGGATGGCGTCGGCGGCATGACCAGGACGTGAGTGTGACGGTTTCTGGCGCACGCTACTCTAGCCGTGGACGAGTCAGGCTGGTGCAGAAACAAGTTGCGATGGAGCTATCCGTGATGAGGAGCGCCATGCAAGCCGTACCTGCAATCGGTACGATTATGCTCTACAACATTGTTGGTCGGTCGTCAGCATATCTGCGAACTGGAAGTGTGGGCTCTGCATATTGAATGCATCATCCCTCCGGCGCAGACTGCGAGATGAGACAACATGTGGCCAGGGTTGTCGATTCTACCGAGAATCGTAGAGTAATACGACGAGCAAATGGAGTGTGTCACTGCTAGACTCTCGGTCTGATGTAGCGCCCTGGTCCAAGCCGCGGATCTCAGTACCTACCTATTCGTAGCTTGGGCGCACGGTTGTGTGGATCTGAGGGCGTGGATCATTGGGATTGTCGATGATGATTTCCCGTGATAATGCAGTCTGCATCGAGAACGGAATAGTTGCGCTAAGAGGTGGCGGAATTCCGCAAAGCTACATTTGCTCAAGGTAACGCGTTAATTGCAGAGCGGAAAGGATGGATAGTTGGATGCAAGCAAACGCAAATGCAAACGAGGGTATTCGGGGCTGCCAAGTGCCAGTTGGCGCAGCTGAGTCTGCGCCTACAGGTCCCAGGTACTTAAGCGTCGCTGGCAGACCGCTGCATGAGGTGATATCGTCAGAATAACCTTATAACTACTACATTGACAACCGAGGTAGGTAGCCTACAGCGCGGCAGGCAATCGTTGACGAACTAGAACCCCCAATTTGGCGACATCTCCCGCTCTTGACAGAAGATGACCCAGAAGACAGCCTGATTTGCACTGGCTCCCGTGCGCAGTGGTGCGAGATTCATGTGTATCAGACACAAACACACACACACACACAGTCGACAAGTCAAGGGCGGGCGGAGTGAAGGCGGAAAACACCCCACCAACCAGCACGAGCTGATCAAGCTAAAAGGCGACAAGGTCGCATTTAATTGAGCAGTTACAATCGACGGGTGATAGAGACCAGGGCTAGCTACTCTAACAAGATGGAGGCTTTTCCAGCAGCACTTGCAGTCGAGCTAAGAGGCGCGATGCATTTGTACATGCAAAGTGCCTCTAGAAAACGTGATAGAATAGATTAATGCTCCATGCTGGACAGAGCCACTTAAGCTTGGCAGGTGTGTAGCGGCATTCGCCCCTGGGGGCAGGCAATTCAGTTGCAGAGCTCAACCCTGCATTTGGGAAAGAAAAAAGGCAAGGCCCCAGGGTACCACCCCCCGCCCCAGGGGACAACGGCTCGTTGTGGAGGCTTTGAAGACGAGGCTGTTGGAGTCGTATCCATCCCACTCATGGCAGCCCACACTCTGAAGCCCACTCCAGACGACAGCCTGGCAATCTTGGCCGTTCCTCATCCTCAGCACCATCGCTGGCTGGCCAGTTGGCTCTGAATATCAATACCTACAGATTACGTAGCGCAGCTTCGCGCTCCTTTTAGCGCCGAAACAGCTGCAGTCTTTGTCCGTCATGTCTCACTACTGGATCCTAAGTGGCTCGCCCTGACTGGCCATTGGAGCATGCTGTATCAGACAAAAAACATCGTTGCAGCGCTGCTCGTTAGCTCGCCGCCTCTTCTCCACTAGGGTCTTCATTGCCTCTGGGCCACCATGCAAGGGAGGAACGAAAAAACCCCGGCAGTCGTGGATTGTTGATACTGTCTTTTTGATCACATCCAAGCTAAATCGCCATTTCGGAGAGAAGAAAAGACGTTGCACCCACAGATCATCAATTCGAAACAAAACAGATGGTTTTTACTCTACTTGAAATAGCTGGCAGTTCTGATAGAAGGCACCATAGAAGGTACTTTAAGGAGTGGTCGGTTATTTATTGTCCCCCACATACTTGCGCGCCCGCTCAGAGGCACTGCCTCAGTGCGTCTCTTGCTTCAGTTGCTGCTTGCCGAGCGGCGGCCCCGAGCTGGCTCCAACCTGTCACTTTCACTATCCTATCCATCACACCGCTGGCCCCAGACACACCACTTCAATTACTCGACCCTGTCATGTACTACGGAGCAGGCAGGAAGGGAGATGGGAGGCTAACTACCACTGCTCGCCGCCTTATTCATTGGCGTGCTGATCCATTACTTCTTCTTAGTCGCTGCGACGCCTCCCGGTAGATGATCCAGCAAACAGAGCACTGCACCCTTGTCGTCAAGCCTCTGCATCTCGACGCCTCGACCAGTCTTTTTGCCCTCGGACAAATGCGAGTCAGAGATCGGCAGCCGAATCAAGATGAAGCACGCACGTAGCGGGCAGCACGCATAAGCCCGTCGCCCCCAATGGTCTGTTCTGTCCTGCTCCCGCCTCGGCCAGTTCGCGCCTTGTGACGCAGCCATGCTGTGCTAGTCAAGACACTCTCGAGTCTCAATTGAATTGCAAAGTGCCAGCTCCTCAGCCCGGCCGGTGCTCTTTTCAAGTTAGCTTGTGGGCCACGGACGGACATCTTGGCCATCAAGCCACGAGGCTCTGCACCATGCGCCTTTTGCCCCAGCAGGGGCCACAGCATCTGTCAAAACCGAGTCACTCCCTCGCTCCCTCATCAAACCACACAATTCCTGGCGCCCGCGCAGCGCGCTCTGTCCGAGTCACTGTTTTGCTCGCTAAACCGCCTGAATGGGTTTTCTGTTGCACGGTATCGGTGCGACGGCACTGACCGCCACTCTCCTTACTCCAAGCACCTGGTCCGCTCTCATGGAGCTCATTTGACTGTGTTCCCTCTGCAGCTTCCCGGGCCCTTGGCTTTGTTGGTTGCACGGGAATACGTCAGTTGCTCATTGCGGAGCCAGGGCACGCACCAAACAGGAGGAATTGCAAGATGCATGCCTCGGCCCCGAAGTCATCAGACGTGAGAGAAGCTGCCTCCAGACCCTATTATTTCTCGGCCACCATCTGTCTGTCCAGGCTGTGTTGAGTCTATCGATGTGATGAGACATGAGTTCGCTGCATGTCGTGTCAGTCGTCGTTGCAAAATTGGCCTACAAGGCATTCAATCACCATACTACCGATATGTCGTCGTGCCCACTTTGGCTTGGGCTCCAACACCGGGCTGTCGGGATCCGCACCGCAGCAAACCATCCTGCAGCTTTGTCTCCGCATGCCAACGACATTTCTGAGCTGTAACAATAGATGCGCCGACGCCACGGCGAGAGTGGACAAACGCAACTGCATCGCCAACGGCTTGTGGTGGCCGGGGAGCAGAACACCCCCCTGCGAGCGCCCGCTTCAGCCCATGCATCCAGCCTGCAGTAACATGTAGCGAGTAGCAAACTTGAACGGATACAAGACGAGCACGGCGGCCCAGCACGTCATGACCTCGCACATTCATACATAGGTACCCCGCACCGCGTCGACTCTCTCTCTCCAGTTGGCCGCAACCTGCTCGCATACTCGTCAGTTGTCACAGGCAGCCAGCACTTGCTGCAGCCCCTTGAGCAATCAATATTGGCGAAGTATTGTCAAGCTGCAGCTTTCAGAAAGGCTTTTCCGACATACTGGTAATCCACCGCCGCACCATCTTCGCCATCCCCGCCGGCCACTCAGACGAAGACACGATGACTGTGCGGTTTGTGGTCCTGACTCGGCTGCAGGAGCAGCATATTGTACCGTCCAACAGTCTTCTGATGGCAGAAGGGCTTTCTAATTTGCCAGATCTGCAATGCAAGATACTACGTTGACTCCGCCTTCAGGAGTTCTACTACAATGATGATTCTTTATACATCAAATGGTAGGATGAAGGACTCCCAACAAGTTTCAACGAATACTTGCTCATTCACTTGAGCCTCCATGTCGCTGCCCCGCTCCTTCCGGAAGACGGGCGTCGGGCGCGTATGTCGGTCTCGGCGGGTATCAACCCTGCGTAAACTGTGTCTGTGGAGATGAAGACCCGCGTGCTAGTGATGGTGCTCCTCACCTGGCTACTGCTGCAGCAATGCAAGTGGCCTACAGGCTTGCCGTCGTAAACGCCTGCGAGTTCCTAGTGGCGCTAGAATCCTTCATTTCTGGTGGCAGGATGCAAGATGACTGAGGCTCTGGCAACACTGAACAAATCAGGGAGACATGGCTCGACGTGATAACGAGCAGTAGACAATCAGGCCGCGCAGATTGTATATGACTTCATGAACATCATCGCTCACTGTTTGCAGCCGTCTTAGCTTGATCGGGCGTGTAAGCCGGCCGGGTGGCGTATTCTACGCTTCGTTCGGCCTATCCCCATTTCGAGCTTGCAGAAATACGTCAATGCGTCTTCTTTGTTCATTGTCACATCGCGAGGCCACAATACAGGAGCGAGATGTCTGTCTGGTGGAATAGCCGATTACCCTGCCAGTTTTAGCTAAGCAGCGGGATGTAACTCCCTTGTCCCCCAAATCTGGCGATACGAGAGGCAAGAAGAGCCCCCGAGCGATAACCAACGGGCGCTGCAGGGGATGGTTGCTCTTTTTGCTTATACTCCGTGGGCCAATATGTTACGCCCGTGCCTGTCGAAACCGATGGCTTGCCCCCCCCCCCCCCCCTCCGCTCCCTAAGAGATTCCAGAAGTCGTTGCTCCTCCTTGGCAACGGTGTACTGTAAGTATGCATCTCTTGCGATACGAAAGTGAGTTTTGCTAGTTGGCTTCCTAGAGCTTGTGCTTCTTGCCCTGACAAGCGCTTTCCTTTTTACATTTGGCCGTCATCAGGGCGGTTGAAGAGCCCAAAAAAGACTCTCTCCGAACAACAGACAGGCCACAGAGATGCTCGCCTGCCTTGGTAGAGACGTTCAGCGAGGCTCATTAATAGTACGGAGTATGGAGTACACTGTACAAGGATGTTATGGCCAGGACAAAAAAAGCAAGCCCTCGAGCGTGTCAAAAAGGCGTTTATTTAGTTACAGCTGGAGCCTGCTGCCAGGCGCTCGCACACCCCCTACACCACTGGTAATGGAGGGCCGGCCGACTCGTTATTTCAACATCTGCCATCTTGTGTCACATTATTTCCCCAAACCATAATCCTTCTTGCCGCTTTCGTCTGCAAAATTTGAAGAATAGTACTCTTTCCAAAACAACTTGTATCCGAAGGGAAACAGAATAAGTGTAACGCGGGGAAATACCAGTCACATGAGAGCCCGAGCAAGCAAGGCTGAACGTGTTCCCCCCTCCCCCGCCCGGCAGAGCGCCGCCAGCCTTGTACGACGTATCAGTCTACTGTTGCCTCTTTTTACGTCTTTTCTTGCTCGCTTCCTTGCTCTCGTGAAGACGCAGAAACTAAGGGCAGAAATGAAAAAGAAAGGACAGTGGAGGCTCGTTTAACGTCCAGAAAAGGGCAAGGCCGGGCTTCCGTTATGGGACGGGCCACCAAGTGGACTTGGCGGAGTTGCGGCTGAACAATAAAGGTGCTATTTTGGCGTTGGTCTTGATACTAGCAGTCAAGTAGTCCGGTGCTAGTGAAAGCCAAGCCTGTCGAAACAGGCAGGGGTAGGCACAAAGTCTTGATGTAAGGTGGAGGATTTGAGTTGGAGCTCCTCGGCTATATCACAACTACGTACTTGCCTAGGTGAGAAGGAGAGGAGGCGTGCCTTTGAACGGTTCGTTCGTCATGCGAAGACCCCCCGCGAATTGGGGCTGTGCGTGGGAAAGGTAAATGACGATGAGGGGACCATCTGCCAGAGGTGACGAAGATGTTTGGATGCAGTAACTAAGATCAGTAGCCGTGCGTACGTTTGATTTGATAGTTTGGATCCTAGAGTGGCGCGGGGTCTGTCTGTTGCATGAGGCCTGTTGTGACCATTTATGTCGCACTTTTGGGCGAAAGCCAAAGCCTTCCATTAGATCCACGACTTGCGGTCAGGCTGTCTGAAAGAATGAAACTGAAGTAACTTCTTACTCCTTGAGCAGTTTGCGGAAAGAGGTTAGCGGTGTATAGTCGCATCTGCTTGTCTTTGAGATATTACCTAGAGTCTCTCCAGGTGAGCCCATTCTTGCAGAGAGGAAGTGGCGGATAGAACCTTTGTCCAACCTGGCGACACCAGGTACGGACAAGACAGTCTCCCAGCATTTCTGGCTGGTCAACTCTGTCAGAATCTTCAGTGCCTTTTTACGAAATGCTTCTGGAAGCGCATCATGAGGAAATTGGCATGCCGTCTGTGCATTGTCATGCATTATAGAACAAGGCATTTGTCTGCTCACAGATAAAATGGTAGAACATATCCCGAACGTGTATTTCTCTATAAAACGACGTACAAGAATAGGACAGCAAGTCCGTCCTCGGAAATATTCCAAGAGGAGAGGAACCCGCAAAGTCAATTTCCTCCAATACACAACCAGCTTCCAAGGAAAGATTTCGGCGCCTGGAACTCCATAAACAGTCAAAGAAATCCCCTGGGGGTCAAAGGAGCGTCTTCGTCGAGTGACCTTTACCATGCGAATTAAAAAGGAATAAAAAACGGCAGACGTGCCTCATCTCATCCTTGAGCGTTATAACCAAGGAACCTAGCAGTATCGGCAAAAAAACGTCGTACGTGCGAATAGGAGGAGCCGCAAAGCCCCAATAACCGACCAGCTGCGGGGTAGGTGATGGCGATATCTCGAGTTGCAATTTCGCCGGTTTCAGACCATCAATGCCCAATGAGAAGTTCGGTAACTACAGCGATACTCGACAGAATAGTGGTCCGCATCCTGTCTGGATGGGGCCATCTCGAGCATCAGCCCTTTAAGGCGTCCAAGACTTAAGCCTTGGTCGATGCGACCTTGGTTGGCGTGGCAGAAACAATGTGGCTCTGGGAGACTTTGCGGCTGGTGTTAGCAGCCTGTTCGTCACTCTCCTCCGAGTCATCGTCACTGGGCGGTCTAGCATCGCGCACGGTACGGCGGTTCTTGGTCATCCAGGAGCGCACACCACCGACGAGGCCGAGAGCGTAGCCGGTGACAAACTCCTTGGAATTTGAGTTAGAGGCGCCGGGAGTCGTGGGAGACCGTGCCAGGTCGCTGGAGCTCTGCGTGAAGCGGGCAGGACTCTGAGGGCGGCTGGTGGGCCAGAACTGGCGCAGCTCACGGCTGAGCTCCTGTCCGGTGGTGGTCCAGTTATTGGTGATGTTATCACGAAGGTCCTGGACGTGACGCTTGATATCGAGCTCGTTCTTCTTGAGCCAACTGACGTTGAGCTCCTGGCGCGAGGTGCCGCGCTTGAATTGGCGGCTAATATACTTTTCGTAGTCGCGGACGATGCGGGTAATGAGGCCAGTGGTACTGACGCCCTCGGTGCGCTGGGTGACGAGGAACTTGCCGGCCTCCTTTATAGGCTGGTAAATGTCGTCACCCTCGTCGGCGCCGTAGGGCAGGTCGTCGTGGGCCACATAGTCGAGGCGGTGATCCTCGAGAAACTGGGGCGTGACGATCCATGGGCAGTCCTCAATCACCTCGTCAACCCACTTGCAGTGGCGGAGAGACTCGGCGCGCTCCTTGGCAGACATGACAGTGAGGCCCTTGCGGTTATGTGTCTCTTCGTCGCCCGTGACACCAACGACCAGGGTCGTATTGGGGAAAGCATTCTTGGCCTGCTCGAGCTGGCGCATGTGACTGCGGCAGAATTAGCGTGCTGCGAATCGTGCTGAGGGCGAGAATCATACCCAAGGTGGAAGAGATCAAAGACGCCGTCGGCATAGACACGAACGGATCGGCCGACGGGAGGAGAGTTGGTTCGGTAGCCACCGGCGGGATGAACAATTTCGCCGATTGGAGGAGGGGCCATGGCCTCGGCCTCTTCAGCGTCTATGGCTTGCAGTCAGAATATCATTCCCGAATCGGCCCGGTATCGATGCAATCGATCGTGTTATCATGGAACCTACCAGAGTCGGCATTGTCCTCGTCGACCGGAGACTCGACGGCTCGTCCTGAGTTGGCCCGCTGTCGCTTAGGGTGAGGGCCGCCATTCTGAGCCTTGAGAATTTCCTCGGCCGGAGCAGCCTGGGCCGGGCTCTGAGGCGAGGCGACACCAGCTCTCTTGCGCTTGCTGGCAGCGTTGGATGTGGAAGCCATTGTGACGGGCAATCGTGTAATGTGTAGCAGAAGTGACAAATAATCGGGTTGCCGAAAGGCAGTACCTCTGTTACGAGGGCAGGGGCGAGTTTGCAACGGCGATGAGGCTCGGACCGGAGAGAACAAATCGACACTCGTTGGACCGCACAACCAGGGGCAAGGAAAAAAAGACGACAAGAGGATGCAGAAGTGTCGCGTGACCGGGTCGGGCCAGGTATTAAGAAAAACAATAATCAGGAGAGGGAACAAGACCAATCCAGGAAGACGGACGACGGCGCTGAGCTGTGTGGGACCAGCAGGGCCGCGAGCCAGAAAAAAAAGTGGTGCTATTTGAGGTTAAAGGGGTCGCGTCGTTTGCGGTGGGAGAGGCTTTGGCGGCGCGCGCGGAGGACAGCCGGTACGGAAGTGCGCGGCGAGTTTTGGTGGGAGCCGCAGGTACTGACTGGACAATACAGAGGTAGTGGCGAGCTGTTTGAGGATGCTGCTGGCCTCGCTGGTGGATCCTACTGTGTCAAGCGGCAGTGCTGCAGACTGCAAGAGACAATTTCAATAATTTCAATATTGGGCTGATGCAAGGGTTGAAGGGTCTGCAATTGCTGACAAGTTTGGGATGCCCGACGTGGATAAGTAGAAGCGATGATGCGTCCTCTGATTCTCAATGCTAACAATGATAAGAGGTGACTTGATGTCATCGCTGATCCTAATCCCCCACACAGTTACGGAAACCTTGATTTCTTTGCCTCTCTCGCCGTGGCACGGGCTGGCTTTGAAGCAGGCTTTGACCGTTAAATGCAACATCTTTGCGGTTTCTCGACAAAAGGTCAGCTCAGGCTTTGTGCGCTCGGCTGCTGAAATCCGCCGCTCGACGCTCATCTGACACTTCTGCCAGGATTTGACGGCAGACGTAAAGTCTCAATTGCTCTTGTCGATCTGCGCCCATCTCAGTAGCGCGACTGCTCGTTCGTTTTGACGGGCAAATTGAGCAGTTTCCCCTCTTCGGTAGCAATCTTGGACGTTATGGCGCTAATAAATACAGCCTACGGTTGACAGAAAGAAAAGAAAAGAAAGCTTGAGCTCGTGTTCCTGATCCATCTTTTTGCCCATCACATCCATAGGGCTAGTCCGCTAATGAATCAGCCAGGAGCCAAATGTCCCCAAAGCTAGCATGTACCAGGTCCTGCATAATCTGCTTGCTCCTGGTCCGCTTTCAAGAATGAGCACGCGAGCAGATTGAGGTTGCAAGGCCACGGCCGCCCTAAAGACTTGACTTTGGCGATGCTTGAGCCACCGATCGTCTTATCAGCCCATTTTCGGCACATGCTCTGCGTCTTGGAATGCGAAGAACCGTGTCGTGCATCGCCTTATCGGTACCCTCGGACGAAAGGCGCTGGATTGCGGGACCGGGGAGCGATGTTTGAACCCTTGCCCATTTGTACGAAGTTGGAGTTGCATGTATTTTAATTGAACCGCAACTTCTATGAGATTGAGATGTGGCATCAGCGGCACTTCTTTTATTGAGGGACCTTGCATAATCATTCCTCGAGTAGCTCAGACGCATCTCTGAGCTTTGCTAGAGTCCATCTCTCCAAGCGTGAATCTGATCCCCACCACGTATCCTTTGAACTGACTTTGGTTCTACTTATCTTGATATACTCGTCTGGTATATCATTCTTGAAGCATTGTTGCCGCACCGTGTTCTGAGATTGCAAAGCTCCAGATGGGTTCATTTCCCGGGGTAATTGAATGCACGCCACATGCTAATTTCATAGTCTGGACCTGGATGCACTTGTTGCTCGCGCCCAGCCTTATTAAGCTTAGCTGCTGTCGTGCATGAGCGGATGAAGATGGATTAAGCTGGGGCAATCAACTTTCTCAGCTCTTGCGCTTTCGCGTGCTGATATGCCTATGCGTATTCATATAGAGAGAGAACCGCGGGTTTACTGCGGGTAGAAAGGAGAGGCACAGGGCAATGCAATCTTATTACAGTGGCCCGATTGAAAGCGTCGCCCACATTTTGAGAGAATTCCATGCAGGCCAGCCACAGGGGAAAAGTGCTGCTTCAGCCGCTCAACAATTTCGGACTGGCACATGAAAAGCAGGGACCAATTCGATCACGAGTAATAAAGGGGGAGGCTATGGTGTTATGAAGACACGGATACGGTACTCCATGGAGGCGCAGCCCGTCCGAACCTGCCGGCGCCGCAGTGTATTGAACAATGGTTCTTGGCCCCAAGAGGGGCGTTGGAGGGAGCACTGGATATGTGACTGCAATAATGCCGTCTTTCTCCCAAAAAGTTCTCTGCAATCTGAATAAGTTGCGTTAAGACATTTAATTATCTGTCATTCTGTCCATGGAGATGCTATATTACGCAGCCGATCAAACAATAGGAACTGTCCGAATGCAGCCAGCCCCTCCCTCGAGCATGAAATACTGATAAATAGGTATGGGGCACGATGGTTACTATGCTGAGCTTCAGCCCTGTCTAACAACAGAGGGTAAAAGAAATAAGATGAAAAAACGGAATCGCTAGCTAAGAATCTTTACGGCCGCGTTGTCGATGGTCTCCGTGATGATGTCAAACCGTGTCGGGGAACCCCTCACTGCCACGCGGCCAAATAGATGGGTGGCCACCAAAGCTCTTTTTCTTCGCACTGTAATGCCGAACAACCGGCGATGTACGGAGGATGTGTTATAATCTTGGCATACATGCGGTCCAACACAGAGGTGCGCGATATAATCTGATTGCGGCACTGCGCAGTAGTCAGCGTGTTGAGCTGCCTCTTCCGGTGAGGCTCATCGCGCCAACTGTCAGTACCTCGGTGGGCGTCTGCAGGAATACACTAGAGCCTGGTGCTGAGATGCAACAATGATACCTCGCACCGCAGACAGCGTCTGCCTTGGCCACATCTGCCCTGCCTCGCCCCGTCTTGGCAGTGCGTGCCGTTGCTGTGCCTCGCAGGCTTACAGCCATCATCTTTACAGAGATTGATCCCGCCCCGACATTCGCGCTATGAGCTTGCAGCCACTCAGTTATTGCCTTGAGAACTGAAAAAGCTGCGCCTTGTAGCTGTGGACTTCATCTCGTACTCTCCGCATTTATCCGCTATCTACTGACGTTACGATGTGCAATGGCGCTCCGTCCGACCTCCCGTGCTCAGTGCTTCCCTGTCGTGCCTGGTGAGGGGTCCTAGAATTTTTCATACTGTGCAGTGATATGAACCAGCGGAGGTGGGGCACTACATCACCACTGCCCAGCGCCTCATTACCACTGATGAAACCCCGTCACGCTTGCCGTAGCTTCTGATAGGGTGGAAGATCCCGTTGCGCACTGTGCAAGCTGTTTCTATGGCACGGTACGACATAGTGGCATGTGTCGTCACCGACTCTCCCCAGCTGAGAGCTCCAATACCACATTTTATCCTCGCACAGCCCTCAGCGCCTCCTTCATCACCTTCCTTTCTCCTCCAGTTCCGTCATGCGCTTTCAAGCAACTTGATTTGCCTCTTCAGCCACTTCCCATCACCTCGCAGCCGTGCATAACACAGCTGCTTTCACAAAGCCGTTATTCCACCTTCCACTAGCAAGCTCTGCTCAGGTCCCGGGCAACAATGGGTCGCTTCAAGAGTGATAATGGCAGCTCGAGTGGCGAGTCCGCCACCGGTCTGGCTCTCAACGTCGTTATTCTGAAGGTATAGTTTGTAGAGCACATTTGGACATGGACACGCCTTTTCTGGATAAACAACTCGCCATTGTGCTGACCAGCTTTCTGCAGGCCAGAGATTTGGCTGCCAAGGATCGCAATGGCACTTCGGACCCAGTAAGTTTTACATCAGCAGGAGCTGCACGCATTCTGGAATCCAATCATCGCGTCCTCGCCATGATGCGTTGCTAATGTGCGCACTTCTGTAGTATCTTGTCCTCAAACTAGGTGATGCCCGCGCCGTTACGCACGCCGTCCCAAAAACGTTAAATCCAGAGTGGAACATCATCGAGCAACTGCCAATCAACAGCATAAACAATCTCGTTCTTGATGTCATTTGCTGGGACAAGGATCGATTTGGCAAAGATTATCTCGGTGAATTCGACCTTGCCCTCGAAGAAATATTTTCAAACGAAAAGAATGCCCAGGAGCCTAAATGGTACCCTCTTCGCAGCAAGCGACCCGGCAAGAAAACCAGCATTGTGTCTGGTGAGGTCTTGTTGCAGTTTACACTCTTGGACACAAACAATCCCGCGTCTCCCCACCAGGAGACAATGGAAAGACTTCAATCTCTCATTCGCTCTGTTCCTGTTGCTTCTGGCAGTCAAGCCGGTAGTGCAAGTGTGACGCCTGCCGCCACGACTACCCCTCACGCTGATCCTCTCGCCGAGTTTGTAGACGATGACGATGAGGAGATTTCCGATTACGAAGAAGACAGCAACGATGAAGGCGAAGGCGAGGCTGAAGGCGAGGACGAGGATGCCTCTAAACCCGAGACTGCCGAGAAACGTCGACGCCGACTCCGAATTCGAGGACTTAAGCGCAAGAATCGACGTGCTGCATACGCCTTCACTAACGGCGACAGTGACGTTGTTGGTATCATTTACCTTGAGATTTGTCGTGTCACGGATCTACCGCCGGAGCACAATCTTACTCGTACCAGCTTCGACATGGACCCCTTCGTAGTAGCCTCACTCGGTCGAAAAACTTACAGAACTCGACGCGTCCGACACAACCTCAATCCAGTGTTCAACGAGAAAATGATTTTTCAACTACTTAACCATGAGAAGTCATACAGCTTCTCATTGACGGTTATCGACCATGACAAGTACTCTGGCAATGACTTTATTGCGTCGTGCACCTTTCCTGTTCAAGAATTGATGAAGAAGGCGCCCCAGGCTGACCCTACCACTGGTTTGTACGAAGTCCGTGAGCCCACTGAACACCGAGAGGCTGCTCCTCTGCCACACAAGTCCCGTCTTCAGAGACTGGGGCTCTCGCGCACTTCTTCATCCCAAAGCCTCAACAAGAAATCAGTCAAGGCCGCCTCGGTCACCAGCGCCATATCTCAAGCACCCTCCTTGGAGACAAGCCAAGCCACGAGCAACCCAAGTCTACTGGCTCCCCCCGAGGTGTCATCGACGGTCATGGAGCCAGAGACCAATGCGGAAGACGACGACCCGGAGTTTCACGAATTCTCTGTACCTCTGTCGCTGAAAAATGCCGAAAAATGGGAGTCCAAACACAGCCCGGTCATCTATCTCAGAGCCAAGTACGTACCGTATCCTGCGCTTCGTCAGCAATTCTGGCGTGCCATGCTTCGACAATACGATACAGACGAGAGTGGCCGCATCAGCCGCATAGAGCTCACCACTATGCTTGATACGCTGGGTTCGACACTCAAAGACTCCACCATAGACAGCTTCTTCCAGCGCTTCCCCCACAAAGCCGCCGACAATGAAGACAGCTGGGATCTGACTTTCGACGAGGTTGTCATATGTCTTGAGGACCAGCTAGAGGCCAAGTCCAAGTCGAGCAGCGGCGTAGCGGACAAGGTCAAGAATATCGCCTCAGACATCAAGAACCTTGCTGTCGAAGGAAACGTCGAGCAGAGAAGCTCTGCTTCGGGCACGTCAACGCCCAGCGAGGATGGTAGTCCTGACACGCTCGACAAAGATGACTCTAGCGACGAGCACGTTGTCGAGATTCGTGAATGTCCTATCTGCCACCAACCCCGTCTGAACAAGCGCAAGGATGCCGACATAATCACTCACATTGCAACTTGCGCAAGCCAAGACTGGCGGCAGGTCAAAACTGTTTTGATGGGGGGCTTTGTGACTGCCAGCCAAGCCCAGCGCAAGTGGTACTCTAAGGTCATCACCAAGATTTCCTACGGAGGCTACAAGCTCGGTGCAAATTCGGCCAATATACTTGTCCAGGATCGTATGACTGGTCAGATCAATGAGGAGAAGATGAGCGTTTACGTCCGACTTGGAATTCGAATGTTGTACAAGGGATTGAAGTCGCGTGAAATGGAAAACAAGCAGAGTAAGTAAATCGATGATTAATGACAATTCTCACTGACAAGAGCTAGTTCGCAAAATGTTGAGGAACCTGAGCATCAAGCAGGGTAAGAAATTCGACGACCCGGCGTCCAGGGATGAAATCGAAAAGTTCATACATTTCCATCGCCTAAACATGGATGAGGTGCTATTGCCGCTTGACCAGTTCCAAAACTTTAACGAGTTCTTCTATCGTGCGCTCAAGCCTGGTGCGCGCCCCTGCTCGGCACCCGAAAATCCGGGCATTATCGTGTCGCCCGCAGATTGTCGTAGTGTAGTGTTTAACCAACTCACGCAAGCTACCAAAATTTGGGTCAAGGGTCGCGAATTCAGCATAAAGCGGCTCTTAGGAGATGCCTACCCGGAAGATGTGGCCCGGTTCGATAACGGTGCACTAGGCATCTTCCGCCTTGCGCCGCAAGACTACCACCGCTTCCATATTCCTGTCGATGGTGTCATGGGTAAGCCCAAGACGATTGCTGGTGAATACTACACAGTCAACCCAATGGCTATTCGATCAGCCCTTGACGTCTATGGTGAGAACGTGCGTGTGGTGGTGCCTATTGACAGCGACGTGTTTGGTCGCGTCATGGTCATCTGTGTTGGTGCCATGATGGTGGGCAGCACAGTCATTACACGGCAGGACGGCGAAAGGGTGCAGCGTGCTGAAGAGCTGGGCTATTTTAAGTTTGGTGGCAGCACCGTTCTATTACTTTTTGAGCCCGGCAAGATGCGATTCGATTCTGATTTGACAGAAAATTCGGCAGGCGCATTGGAGACTTTGGTAAGACTATTGGCTCTCGCTTGTAGAGCGCAGCTAACATGAGACAGATTCGCGTCGGCATGTCCGTCGGCCATTCGCCAGACGAACCGCAGTGGACACCCGACATGCGTGCTAGCGACGAGCAAATCACCGAGGAGCAGAAGAAGGATGCAAAGCGACGCATCCAGGGAAGCTTGGCTCAGGATTCGCCCAGCGACAGTAACGATGATGACCGGCTGCACTCTGTGCCGCCTACGATGGACACCATCGCAGCCTCTTCTCTGTAGGAGGCCAGTCTCGACTGATCATTTGCATTTAAACGGCATTGCATTCGGCATACAGCACTTTTGATTTCAACACGCGCAAACATAAACACGGAAGGAAGGGGAGCGTAGCATGAGATAGACTTTTCAACGAAATCATCGCAGCATACGGAGCGAGAGGCCAAGGCCAGGAAGATGGTGGTGACATATTTGAGACGTCGATATAAGTAGTTGCTTGTGAGAAGCTGATATAGTATTGCTTGACAAGGGCGAATAAAACATTGAAGATTGGTTTCCGCAGCTAAATGGCAGACGTGCAATAAAATGAGACAAAGTAACAGAACGCGAGCGCTAGTAATGTATTCCTCCTTGAAATTTCCTCCGATTGAAACATGTAATAGTCGTGGATATATGGGTGGCTGGTTGGTTGACTATCGCTCGCTGCTGGATGAAGACGACGGCCGGGTCCAGCCCGCCGATGACTCGCTGCTGATGGAGCTGAAGCTCGCTCTCGGCGACGTGGGCGCGGCCGGTACCGAGTTGCTCTTGACCGTGGCAAGGGATATCATGTCGACGGTCGGGGCGGTGGTGTTATTGCCGCGGCGGGTTTCGCGCCAGGACGAGTAGACTTGTCTGCAAAAGTGTGCAGACATTGTATATGTGGGAGACATTTTGTGTGTGTGTGTGTGTGTGTGTGTGTGTGTGTGTGTCGTCGTGTTCGTCGCCTCTATTACGAACCCGACGAAGGTAAGG